GCAATGACTCCGATATGGCTACAGCACGCGTACACGTCTCTAGTGTGAGTGATGAGTACGGGGAGGAAAGGGGTTGTGATAACCCGGGTATGATGGTAGGCTACTTCCAAATCTGGTTTCATAAGAAGTGACCATAAACTGCAGTCTTGCTCACTTAAGCAGTAAGTTATAGAGGCTATTTGAGCCATTATCTGAGTCTCCAGTTAGTTAAGTGAGCATCAAGTAAGTGAGCGAGTAAGTGAGCAGCATCAGGTGATTATGTGAGCTGGGCAAGACTCTTGCATTACCTTAATTGTGATATTCCGCTATGCAGCAACGGCAACCCTCGAGACAAATAAGCTTCTATAGAGATATAAGCATAAAAGTACCGGGATGACCCTTCCATTGTCTTTCAGCTAAAGTTGATGCTGCCAACAGGCGCCACGACACAGTGAGGTGGGCGTTTAAGACGAGCGGCGCACGGGTCATTTGGTAGACTTGATCCCGTGTTAGATGGCTGCATACGCTCGGATACCGTACATGAAACCGGTATAGGGTTATCGATATCGAGTTATCAGTGTCGCATTACCAGTATCGGGCATCCGATATCGGGCTACCGGTATCGGGTTAGACGCAGGACACATTTCAAAAATGATATCCTTACCACAGCCGGTCAGCCAAACGACAAAAATGTCCGTCATTTGTGAAATGGTACCGACGCGAGTGACGCAGTATGTGATTGGCGGGCTGGATTTCCGCGAGCGGATCATCAGACGGCCGGGCCACCGGAGATGCGGAGGAGGTGGACCCAATCCAGAATGACCAGGCCGATATGCTGCTCCAAACGCGTCCACAGTCTCCCCTTTCTACCAAAAACCGGCCCATGTTTCAATTTAACGTGTCGCAACAGCACCGCTGAGATCCCGGGCTCTCCCGGATGCCGCTGGGGATCTCCAGACCCAGTTATCCATCGCCTGCCTGACAGAATCACACTCAGGTGTCAGGCGCCGCGCCGCTTCCATCCCACGCGCGGCCCAGGCCGGAGCGCCGCTGCCACCCCTCTCCTCGCTGCTGCCCAGTACGGGCCCGGATCGTGCAGGGACCGCACTCACGCGCGCGCCGCTCACGCGCGCCAGTTCCGTCCGGGCCGCGCCGTCCGCTGCAGGTCAGGGGCTCGTGACCGGGGTCAGGCGGCCGGCCACCCCACGCAGCGGAGTCCTCGGTCGCGCCGGGCGGCCGCACGCGCCGCCGACGACCGGTATCGCCCGATCACCGGCCAGTGTCGACACGTGACGTAACGCCGCCGGTCGGGCCGTCGGCACCCGCTTGCATGACCCGCTGGTGGCCGCGAGCGGCGCCCAGCGGGCGGCGTCGCTGCCCGAACTGCCATGGCGGTCCAGGCGGTGGGACCCCTTCATATTGATGACGTCATAGGTGTTGATGGGCCGCTCGGAGACGCGTGATTCTTGGCTAGGCTCGGATGGATGTCAGTTAGGGTTTATGGGCGCGTCAATTACGTGGCCGTTTCTCGTCTCGGCCGGGCTCGGCGCAGGGCAGAGCATGCCGCCTCAGTGGACGGCTATGACACACAGGCAGAGTAATCTTCGGCCTGTGCTGGTCCCGCCAGGTACGTGCGGTTCGGGGGAGCTGGGGGAGGCACCGGCTGGTACCCGGAGGTGGCACCGGCCGGTGCGGCGATCGGTCATCTCACGGCGGCGACCCCACTTCCCAGCGGCGGCGGCCGCCGCCGCCGCGCTAAGCCTAGGACCGCTCACTAGGACCCGCCGCCGCCGCCTGCGAAGCCCGCTGTCCCCATTGGCCACGACTGGCCGTAATTAGCCGAGTGCCGTCGAGTAGCCGAGATTCGCTTAAGAGCCAGAACGAAAGCAGCGCCGACAAAAACTCGGGGGTATCGTGCCGGGCGCGCCGCGTGCGCGCCTCACGCGACGTCCGGCTGCTCGAGGGACCACGCCCGCAGGGACGGCCACGCCCTGGAGGCGGGCGGGAGCGGCGCAAGAGCTGGCTGCAGCAGAACACGACTCTCCCGCCAGGGGGCCAACGAGACGGCGTGGCTGCGGCCGCCGCCGGCTGTCGTCCTATGCCGGTCGGTTCGCCGGCATCAGTCGATATTGTTCTGATTTCCGGCCGCGACCTCGGACAGCGGCGGGAGGCCGTGCGCCCCCGGCTCGGGGTCAAGGGTCAATCGCTCTTGTTGCGTTAAGGCCTGACGCCGTGTTCTGCTCGCCGTGTGATGAAACCCGGCGGCGGCGGGTCACCGCCGTCCGGGCAGGCCCTCCGAGTGCCGTGGTGGCGACAGCGCGTGGGTCGACGAGCACATGCGAGTTGGGCCGAGGACTGCGGCGCCCTGACGGTAGCTTGTGTCCGGCGGGGCACAGGAGACCATTTTTCCTGTTCTGGGCAGCTGTGCGCGCTGCTCACTTTGACGGCAATGTCCAAATGCGTGCATCACTCCTCGTAAGAAAGCAGCACCACAGAGCTCAATCAAGGGATGCCGCCGCGATCCGTAACAACAAGGCTGCTGACAAGGTACTCGTGACCTGGAAACGAAGTGATTTCCCGCTGCTATTCGCGCGGCCGTTTTTTGTCCGTCGCCTGGATCCGCCGGGAGTCCGGCGTCGGCTCTGTTCGCCCACCAATGAGTCACCGCTGCGGTGGATCTAAGCTACCCTTCCTCGGCCGACGGCAGACAAAAGTGACGCTGACGCGGCCGGCGCTGACCCCGGTGACTTGCGAGTCAGGGGTCACGGCCGGCGATGCGTGCAGGCGCGGCGCGACCCGCCGTCGGCACGTCGGCACGCGCCGCCAACAAAACCCTGAAAGGCATGTTACGACTACGCCGCGAGACAGTACGCTGGGGCGGTGATGATCCGAGGGACAAACTCAACAACACTGGAAGCATTGCTGATGGGGAAATGGGACCGTCACAAAGAGGTGTTTGTTGCGGGCAAGGCAGGCGTATAGGCGGCAGCGGGCAACACGAGACATGCGCTCTGCTGGTGGTGAAGGTCTACAGATGACATCCTCCGAGGCGTTCAGTGAATCCCTAGCGAGGTCGCTGCCGGGGGCCCCTGGCAGAGACAGCGTGCCAGGAGGAAAACCAGCGCGGCGCTGGTGGCCGTGAGGGCCTTCTTGCCGACGTTGCCGCGGCCCAGTCACCGCCAGTGCCCAGTGTGCCCAGTGTGCCCAGTCACCGCCAGGCGTGGGCGGAAAGGGCGCGCGCTCGGAGGCGTGGGCAGACGGCTGCGCTGTGTGGCGCGGCCGGCGGAGACGGCGCCGGGACTGGGGCGGACCCCGCGCTAGGGGCGGGAGGGCCGGCTGCAGACCAAGGCCGCGGGTGGCCGGCGCCGTATGTCGAGGCACAACCACAGTTGGCACCAGCTGAGCCGTGTTCACTGCCGGCGGCGAGGCAGGAAAACGAACGGTCCCGGAGCCCTAACGCGCGATGCAGACGGTGAAAGGAAATGCCTGGGAAGGGTGTGTTCATCAGCCGCCTTGGAACGCGCGCGCGCGCTTGATCGGGGCGGGGTGGCGCGCGGTCCCTTCCCCGCGCGCGCAGGGGTCTGCCGAAAACAGCACCAGCACAAGAGGGCTCTCAGCGGTGAGCGGTATGGCTCGCACCGCGACCGGACTTAAGGCGCCGCCTCTGACCCTGTCGACCTCCAGAACAGAGGTGGCCTCTCTGCGACTGAAGGTCGAGCCTTTCCGCCTGCTGTTCACGGCAGGTCATTGTCACGGCACCCTCTGTTCCAGATGTCACACGAAGCCATGGCTGCCTGTCATGGGACATAATAACTAGGATAAACTGAATCGCCCACTGGGTCTGCTCACGAGCCGTCACTTCAGGCAGAGGACGTATTGACCTTCAGGGCAGTGGGTCTTTTGAGCGCGGGTCATGCTCATTAGCCTCCTCTCCCGCATACGAACGGTCGCGGCCACTGGGGCATTGCCGCGCCGTTAAACGACGTGCTTGCCTGGCCGCCGGAGCAGGTCGCCGCCAGATGTTTGTGAAAAGTGTTCTCTGGTCCGTATGCACATGAGGGTTATTACACGTTCACTGCATGGCTAAACGGGCGTGTGTGTGTGATGACTGTATGTTTCAATCCATCATATGTGACTCGGGGATGAATTGTCACTGCAACAGTGGATTATCCCACGACGTCCATACATACATAGACACATCTATGCATCCATATGACAAACAGTGGCGCAGCTTTCCAAGTTGTTCTTTTTTCATTGGAATGCAAATGGGTGGATTTGTCGTTTCCCAGCTATTAGTTTTGTTGCAGCCGCTGTGCCTAAACAATCCATGCCATAGTGAATTATTGCAATGAATCTTCGCTGGATCTGTGATGCAAGTATGCGGAAACTCTCCATTGGGTAAACCTAAATAAGGCATTGCCATTTTGTTAGGAGCGCATGGAGCATACCAGAATATTCCAACTTTGTGTGCTATGCTGGTACTTGACAATAAACGTTTGGTATGGGTGAACATGTCATAGTGTGTTCGGCGGGTTTCTGAGGGAGGGGGGGGGCACACCGTCCGGACCTGTCTCCAGACATTCCGAGACCAGTTTGACCTGCACCCGCCGGCGCGATCTGTACAGACATGCCATAGCACTGCTCTGACATTTTAATGGGGGGGGGGGGGAAGTAGATATGTTTGTCTCTTAGCAAATAAGAGTCATTGCCTTGCCTGGAACCCTTGCTCCCGTTGGTGGCACCAAGCCGGCACTTGGACCGCAATACCGCACCGCTTATCCGTCCGAGCGGCCCGATCCGTCTCACGAGACCCGCCGCCGCGGCTAGGCCTCACAACGCGGCTCTGTGTCATCAGGCGCCGCTGTGACTTCACCGCGTTCCTGTGTCCTCAGGCACCGTTGTGTCCTCATCGTGCCCCTGTGTCCTCAGGTAATACTATGTCCTCAAGCGTCGCTGCGTCCTCACCGCGTCCCTGTGTCCTCAGGTGCCGCTGTGTCCTCACCGCATCCCTATGTTCTCAGGCGCCGCCGTGGCCCAGTTCCAGCGGTCACTCCCCGGCGGCCGGAAGGCGTCCGAGGACTTCGACTGCCCCGAAGACTTCGGCTACTACGCCCACCACTCGGACTGCTCGAAGTACTTCGTCTGCGTGTTCGGCGGCGCCCTGGAGGAGGAGTGCACTGCCGGACTCGTCTACAGGCAAGAGCATTAGCGACGGCCAGGTTGGGCGGACGCGCCGCTTTTGACCAGCTCATGAATCACTGGGCTCTGATACCCAAGCGAGATTTTACGCCCACTTTATTACTCTGAGCTCATGGTCATGACCAATGAGCATTGCACCCCTGTTGCATGAAAGACAAGAGTATCGCAGTCGCCCCCGAACAAACCCTCAGCGCTGGCCGAGTCTGTCCGTGGCCAGTGACGTCAGAGCGGCCAGTCCGGAGCGCCTGCTGCCCTTGTCGCCCCTGGTCGGCCGGGACCGGACCCCGTGACCCTGACCGTGACTCTTCGCCGGCAGTGACGAGCTGCTCACGTGTGACTGGCCGCGTAACGTGCACTCGTGTGACCTGAGCGCGCCGACGCAGCGGCCGCGGGTCAGCACGGTGCTCGTCACTGACCCGCGCACGGCTCGACCGGCACGGCCCACCGGGCGGCCCCGGCCCAGCACGGCGGCGCCCCGCGCCCGCTCTGCCGCCGCCCGCCGCACGGCGCTCAGGTGCGGCCCGCGCCTGTCTGGTGACGGCCCCTGCCATCGGGAACGGCCCGTGCCCGTCTGGCGCTGGCCCCTGTCGCCGAGAACGGGAATGGTAGAACTGAGGGGTTGGGGGCTCCTGGTGCCGGTGTAATGGTGTGGCATAAAACTCGGTGGATTGTGATCTTGAGTGACTTCTTGCCCTTTTCTGTCTTGGTTTGTCATGATTGGAGTGCGCCCCGGCGTGGTTGCGCCAAGGCTGTTGAGTGTGTTCAGTGAGTACTGTGTGCCCAAACCAAGGCAACAACCTAGGAGCATTCGCGAATACGTCCCAGTGTAAGCTCTGGCCGCGCCGCAGGAAGATCGTAATACTGTACTCCTATTATTTGATGGGTTTGACCTGCTTCACACTCGGCGTTGAAGGGCTAACCGCTAAGGGAGGCGAAGGCCAAGTAGAGAATCAGGTTTCTCAGCCCTCGGGCTCTAACCCTATCGTTAATGCATTACGCACCGTCGCTTGGCATGCATATCGAAACAGGGAACGAGCATCATAGCATTATTTTTTTGAGGGAGTGCGGGGACATGGGCCAGCAGTGCCTTAGTTCCCTCACCCGGGGACCGGCCCAGCTGGGCTGATTCTCAGAGACAACAGCCTGACGTCAGCTTCGCCGACGCAGGCCTCTCTCAGCTATCGCCTATCATAGGAATACCCCAGGACCTGAGCAGAGAGCAGCCTCCATGCTCACTGGTACAGCTCGGCACCTGGTAACCTTCACCATTCCATGTAGTCACCGCCGTGCCTGCCACCACCGGTCAGTGATTCACCACTACACTCGCGGCACAGCCCCGCGTCATGGGTCGGACACCCCCGCCCGCACCCACGACCTTCCTCCCGCGCGCTGGCGCCCAGACCCAAACAACTTTCAATTTTCATAACGGTTTATCTGTAAATGGAGACAATTCATCCAGGGTGTCTTACAAAAAAACGGCGAAGAATTTGTCAGGCCCCATCTCCCAACTCACTTTCGATTCAATCCATTATCCCGAAAGAGCCGGCGCGGCGCGGCAGTTATCGAGCCCCATCGCTGCGCCGTCCGGGACGCATTGTGTGCCCCCCCCCCCCTCACGCGCTGCTGACCCCGCCGCCCACCCCACAGGCGGCCGGCGGTGCCCAACAGTCTGGCGGAGTCGCGGCCGAGCCCGGCGCGCCGCGGCCGGCCGCGCTCCGGCGCCAGCGCCTCCATCGCCGAGCAGGTCCGCCTGCTGGACAACATCGACACGAGGCCCGCCGACCTCGACCGCGGCTTCGAGGGCGACAACAACGTGAGTGGCGGCACGGTGACGGCGACAGCGCGGCCGACTCGTGCCAGGACACGCCAGCTGTGCGACGTCGACTCCCGAGGTCTTGCACCGAGGCTGATCAACACGTCGGCTTCTTTATGGAATGCGTGGATGTCTCTAGAAACATATTCAGGAGTTTGATGCGTTGGAAGAAATCAGGGAAAGTCGGGTGCTGGGAATATGTCAACATTCTCCATCTAGAAAAGGAGTTGTCTATGCAAATACGCCCAACTTCAGTTCGTTCTGGTCTCATTGGGGTCAAGGCCCAGGGCGCTGTTTGGGGTTTAAGTGGCTATTGTTATTGGCGCTTCAAACTGTAAGTTTATGCGGCGCCTAGCCGTGGCTTCGGCACATATGCAGCAGTAAAGGTTGGTATAGCTGTTGCATGTACTAAGAAGCAGATTATGAAGGACGTGATTCGCGCACCATTGGCACGGGTACGGGTGAAGCGAACGGACCGCTGCACCACACATTTAGTTAGCAGTCACCACTGGTCACAGAGACAGGGGCTTCCTCTCGGTAGCAAACACACCCTGTTTGGTACATATGTCACGCAAGGCAGATGAGCTTTTGAGGTCACGACCTCAGGGTGTGCCGTTGCTGCCCATATATGTAGATCGCTCGTGAGCACCTGCCCAGATATCAAGGCAGCATCCAGTGTCCTGTTTGCTGTTTTGTCAAGCCGTGAGAAGCTTTAGCCAAGCGCAAGTCATGCTTGGAAATTGCAGCTGTATAACGAATAAGGTAAGGAGCGCCACGGCCGGCAGATTGTCATCACATCTGTATAACGGATAAGGCAGGGAGCGCCACGGCCGGCAGATTGTCATCACATCTGTATAACGGATAAGGTAAGGAGCGCCACGGCCGGCAGATTGTCATTACATCTGTATAACGGATAAGGTAAAGAGTGCCACGGCCGGCAGATTGTCACCACATCTGTATAACGGATAAGGTAAAGAGCGCCACGGCCGGCAGATTGTCATCACATCTGTACAACGGTAAGGTAAGGAGCGCCACGGCCGGCAGATTGGCATCACATCTGTTTATTCGGCACGCGAGCAGCACTCGACATAGGTCCTTCAAATGTTCACGACCAAGTCCATGCTCCTCACCTTCGAAAGGAACATGTCATTCCAAGCTCGGAGCGAGGTAGTACGGTTGGAAGTCAGTCTGACGTATCTGAATAATCGAGCTCAGTGGCTGGCCATCAACATATTGTTGGATGAAGGGACGCTGGCGTGGTCATTGTCATCTTCAGTCCTCTAAATCTGCATCATTTCCGTTGTGTTACCCCGCGTTACCAGCGATGGAGTGGGGGAGGGCGGGGGGAGCAGTTCTGGGGGAGGGGGTCCGCTAGTTCTGCGGAGTACGATCCGTACCTGATGCGAGGTCGGGCCACCTCCCACCGACCGCCAGAGCTGGGAGCTTTCTCACCGCGCTGCGGTCTTGGTAAGACTCAGCGACCAACCGCTGCTTCACTGGAGACCTCGCTGCGCGACCGTCTGTGGGAGGCTAAGCCGACTCCTGGCACAGCGTCGCCGCCGCGCATGTCCTGGCTCCGCGCCGTGGATCCCCTGGCTCCGCGCCGTGCGTGTCCTGGCTCCGCGCCGTGCATGTCCTGGCTCTGCGCCGTGCATGTCCTGGCTCAGCGCCATGGATTCCCTTGCTCCGCGCCGTGCGTGTCCTGGCTCCGCGCCGTACGTGTCCGGCTGTCGGCCGCTGGGACGCCCGCGGTCCCCGGGAGCGGGCCGAGGCCGCTCGCCGCCCGCTGAGAGCTGCGCCACGCCTCCGTTGTGGGCAGCAAGGCCGAGCCTCATGGTGAACTGACAGACGGCGGCAGCAGCGCTGGCCCAGCACTCACTGCCAGCCCGCTGGGGCAAGTGTTGCTGGGCCACGCCCCACATAGCGTGAGCAACGGCCAACGAAAGGCCGTTAAACCGCGAGACGATGACACCTGGGCAGCACAAGGTCAGCTGTCGTGCGCTGCAGTAGCCGAACGCAGCAGAGGAGCTGGCTTGGAGTGGGATGACCACGACGGGCATGCAAAGTAGGAGACATTGCCGTAGGCCACGAGTGCAAACACGCTAATGGCATCAGCACACTGGCAACCGGCCGTCAGATTTGGCGAGAGGTCTGCCGCGGTGCTGATATAACGCCGGTGCAGTGAAGGCGCCGAAACGGCAAACATGCCAAAGGCACGGAATCATAACACCGGCGCCATCGCACTCCGACGCCGCCGCGACAACTTCAGCCGCTTGATTCGACCGGCGTCCGCTGGGGGCAGCACCGGCGGCCGACAGCCGGCGGCAGAAGGCGCTGTGGTAGCAGGCCGGCCTGACGCCGCCATTAGCGGGACGCGGACGAGATCGGCGGCTGGCGGTCGAGGTCGGGGCTCGCCGCAACCCGAGTGACTCAAATGGGTCGGCCTCAGAACACAGTAGTGTCGCCACCGAACGACGGCTCCTGCGGGCCGTCGTCAGCGTTCCCCACCACGACAGCTCGGTGGGCCGTTAAGGTGTGGAATGTAACCCAGACAGCCGTGTCAAAGTCACAATGTGGTCATCGGTCACGGTGATACCCCTCCCCTAATTTGTCAACACCCCGTGTAGTTATTACTACATGCCTCTCTGCCAGTGTAAAACGCTATAATAGAGTTGGAGAGCGCTTTGCGCGGAACAACCTCTCAATATATGATATATATGGTCGTGGCCGAGGCCGAACCCACCTCAGCCGGAGAAGATAAAAAGGGAATTTACCAAAAACGAAATCATGAACACCCCACACAATGGTTCGGAGTAAAACACCAAACAACAATGAAACGAACAGCTTCATATATATATATATATATATATATATATATATATATATATATATATATATATATATATATATAAATCAGGCATTGCTTCCAGGTGTAATTGCTCTCATCATATTTTTTACAGTTCTTTCCATTTTTTGGGTCAAGCATTCAGGTTTGCTGCGTAAATCAGAGATAATATTTCCGAGACTTGAATACACCTTGCGGTTATGACTGGCATGAATATTTACTTTGAATACGACGTTTCAGATATGCATTCTCGATCGCCCGGCAAAACAAATTTATAACCTTACGGTTGACTAGGTTTACATTACGTTTACTTATTTAACAATGTTTGAAAAAGTATGTAAGTTGTGAAGTGCATTTGCGAGAAGCATTGTGCATATAGATGAGACAGTATTAAAAGCCTTATTTCTCGTAGAATAAACAAGGGAATCGGGAGATGATGTTATATTTTGGCTACATGCCTTTATCGAAACGATTCGCTTTGATAAAACAAGCATTACTTTTGTTTCATTCTTATTTTGTTTCAAGTTATTATCCACTCTTTTCAATGTTCTATATCACATTATCCATTCCTATCAATATCTGAAAAGGACACACACCAAAGTTTCACATGCAAAAACTGGCGACATCATGGGAAACGTCAAAAGTGACGACTGAGGACAGCTCACAGGCAGGAGCCACATGAGGAGGCGGGGAGCAGTCCCCACGTGCCAGTACACTGTTCAATACAACGCAAGGTCTTAACATGACTCGAACCATTTGTTCATCGTTCGGTGGTTGCCTCTTACATATGATGTCTCACATGTAACGTCTCTTATCTGGAAAGCTGGCGGCGGTCGTTACACAAAGTTAGCCGTCTGGTGTTTGCTGCGGCGACGTTGTCCCGTCAAGGTTTGCTGGTGCGTTTCCTGGAAGTCAACCTGGAAGTGAAGTGCTTCCTGAAAGTGAAGGTGTTTGACACGAAGGAGCTGAGAAAAGGCCGCTGAGGGCCAATTATACCTTATAACATAACCAACTGTGCCTGAAAGAGAACATTGTCATGATGCAATAAATGTAAGCGTTACCGATAAGTTTCGATTCAGCTCTGTATTACATAGCGCGTCGGCTTCTTATGTCATTTTGTTTCCTAGGGTTCACTTGCATGTAACGTGTCTGGTGTGGTATGGGTTAAAGTGCGTGTCTGGTGTGTAACATGTCTGGTGTGGTATCGGTTAAAATGCTCCAAATGATTTGTCGCCGCGAGGCTGGCGCGTTTCCCGGCAATCAGCCACGTTGGAACGAGCACTACCCTAAACACTCGCTGCCGGAGCTGTCCGTCCCGTGACGCGCGCGAGCCGCCCGCCTGCCTGCCGCCGCGCTGTGTTTGGTGAGGCCGTCCTCCAGCCGTGCCACACTGCTCAGCGCGCCCCCTGCCCTGTTGCAGAAGATCGTGACCCGGCGCCAGCAGAAGCTGCTCAGTCCCAACTCGAGCAGTGGCCGTGGGCGCTTCCAGCAGCCAGCCGTCCAGAGTCTGCAGTAAGTGCTGCAGTCACCCCCCCCCCCCCTCCCCTCTTCCCCTCCCGGAAAAACGGCTCGGTATTCATCGCCTGGCGTCTACTGGCCACTTCCTGGACTGTCTGGCAGGAAGAGAGTGCACGGAGCTTGGCTACCGTGCCATACCGCTGGGACCGGGTTCGGGCTGACGTGCCACACCGCTGAGACCGGGCTCGGGCTGGCGTGCCACACCGCTGAGACCGGGCTCGGGCTGGCGTGCCACACCGCTGAGACCGGGCTCGGGCTGACGTGCCACACCGCTGAGACCGGGCTCGGGCTGACGTGCCACACCGCTGAGACCGGGCTCGGGCTGGCGTGCCACACGGCTGAGACCGGGCTCGGGCTGGCGTGCCACACGCGTTGGGCTTTTGTAGTCGTTGCATGTTTTCTGTGCCGCTTTTTTGTTTTTATCCTCCATTTTCTTCTCCTCTAGTTTGTAAGACCGGAAAAGAGCGTCCACTTCTTCGTATTCTGCCCGACGGATTGCGGCCCAATCACATATGTCTGGCGCGTCGCTCACAGTGGCTCGCCACGTGCTTCCCTCAGCCAGCTGGGCTGCCTGTCCGTTCGGGCTCTTCTGAACTCGCAGAGCCCGTTCAGTTGGCTTGCCGGCATCATTCCGCGGCTCATTTCGTTCTGTTGTGTTTAGTTCTGCTTGCCCGGTTGCTCAGGCTGCTCCAGCTTGCTTGTTTGTGTTCGTCCAGCGGTTTCGTTCGGACCCATTCAGCGATTTTGTCCGGGCTTGTCAGCTGGTCCAGGCTGCTCGGTTGCCTTCCTGCGGGACGCTGCAGCGTACGGTGCGCGCCTGTCGCACGCGGACCGACCCCGGTTTTTAGGCCCGGCCGCGGCGTCGGCGGCAATGAATACGCCGGCGGCGGCGTGTGGTCGAGCCGGCTGCGGCTGTCTTGGCCGGCCTGTCCGCGGTGATGCAATGCGGTCTGCGACTCAGCGAAAGCCGAGGCGGCCGAGCACCGTGCCCGCCGGGACCGGCGATCATATCGAGAGCCGCGCGCTGCTGGGCGCCGGACACGGGCCGCCCCTGGGTCAGTTCGCGCTGGCCATGTTAGCTGTCGTGCTTGGCCCATGTGAAGGAATTCTTTGTGGCAAATGTGATATTTTGAATCATCGTCTCCGGTGCGCCTTTATGAAGTATTTTGCACTGTCGGCAGTCTACGCTTTTAAGAAATCCACATATTTTCCAGGGAAAATATGTGCCATTTGGGGACGAAGTGACACTGTGACGGCTCGTTCAGCGTAGGTGTTGATTGAACTTCAAACTTTGCGTTTGCCTTCCGCTGAATAGGCAGGCTGGGGCCGCCTATCCATGTCCATGTGGCCCGATTGTGTTAAACACCGGAGGGTTGAGAAGGTTAGGGCTTCATGCACGTTAGATCACTTCTATCCTGGTTAGTTTTTCTCCTTCTGCGACAGTCAGCCATCATATTTTGGTAGTAAGCTTGGCCCAGCGATTTCTGTAGGCCCCCGGAGGTACCGTAAGCAAGGTGGGTTCCCTTATTCTCTTTTCAAAACATGACTTGATAAAGTAAGGCAAACTGGCGATAGTTCGCTTCTGACTGCCGTTCTCCTCTGGTCTGCTGGATGCAAACCTCCATGTACTCTGGTGTGCTAGTTGTGTACGGACTAATACGTCACATGAGGCCGATAGTCCGAACAATTGTTAAATCCTCGCTCCAATATCTCGTTTCAGCCCTTCCCCAAAATTTTGGGGCAACATTTAGTGATGACAACATCAATATTTACATCTGATAACTGTTTTTGAAAGCTAGATTCAATGCTAATACCTTTTCACTCTATTAAGCGTTTGTTTTTATATTTCCTCGACAGCAAAGATAACTGACGCGCGGACATTAAGCCTCTTTCAAATACGAACTTTGGTATTCGAAAGCAAACTGCAAAAATGCAAAGTAATGCAAATTTTGCAAAAATGCAAAGCAATGCAAACTTTGCATGCTATGCTTAGGTCTTCCATAAAGCGCTTAAATCAAAAGCTGAAAGTTGACATCAAAGTAGCCGCCAAAACTGCGCAAGACAAAAAGCATGCAACTGAAGGACATGTCTGGATATGAAGTGATGACAACACAGCGACGCAGGCAGCGTTCGTCACACGCTCGCTATCTCCCACCATTAGCCTGCCATCGCAGCGGCCAGCTCCCGCGTCCACCACCCCCGTGGTGCATGTAACCACAGTCGCGACGCAGTTGATTGCTCCGGCTCCGTCCAGCCCTCGCCTGCGGCTGATCGGGGAACATTCCACCCCTCCCCCCCCCTCCCCCCGCCGGCGCCCGCTGTCCGCCTGCTGCCGACCCCGCTCGGAGCAAGGTCAACCGGCGGCAGTTCCTCTACCGGCCGGCCACTCCCGTCCCATGGCGACCGATGGCGTCGCCGTTTTTGTAACGGGTGGCCAGTGCACGCGAGGGCACGCGAGGGGCCCGTCAGGCGGAGGGGCCCAGGGGACGCCGGCAGGACGACAGAGGGGTGCACCGGCGGACGTCTCTTATGCGCGCTGAGTGTAATACGACGTTGTTCAGGATGTGGTCATTTGAACGTAACGGAGTTCGCAGTACGTCGTCGTGGCATTTCATAACGTAGTGCGTGTTCTGTATTCATTTGTCTTTGTCTTCACGGTGGCGCATTGATGACGCATGCACTATTAAATGCATGACCAGATCACCCGCCTCGCTGCGGCGGAGAGACTGGGAGTTTCATGCACCGCAGGTCCTCCTCATCACTCACACCTGTCCCTCGACGTAAGGCCGTTGGCAGGAGGAGAACCGATCGACTGACCTTGCAGCACCGTAAACGAACTAGCGAAGCATAACAAAATGTCCTTCCTCGTCCGGGAAGCACGAACCATCCGCACCGCATGACACCCAGTGGCGGGGACTGACAACAGTGGCTTACATGATACAGCCGGACGCTGAATTACGCCGCAATGAAATCGTTCCGCGGTAAGCAATCGGTCAGTTGATTGCGACGCCGTTGGAGTTGGTTGCGGGCCGCACAGCATTGCTATTTGGCATTGTTCCACAAGACCTGAAAGGTTTCTGCTTAAAGAACAGCGCACTTCAAGTGTGTCTCGTGCCGCCCCGTCCGCCGCCTCAGACCCGCACCGCGTCCACAGGGGCAACGACGTCCTCTCCAAGTCCACCGACGCGCCGGTGCGCCTCTCCACGCTCTCGTCGTTCTCGTTCGGCAACACCGGCACGCGCTTCCCGCCGCGCCGCCCCGAGCCCGAGCCGCCCACGCGCTTCCCGCCGCGCGCGTCGCCGTCGACGTTCGTGGCATCGACACGCCGCTCGCTCTTCCCGTCGACGCCGGCGTCGGTGACGCGCCAGACGGTGGGCGCCGCGCCGACGCCGGCCGGTCCCGCTGAGCAGGCCCGCACCGAACCGGCGTATGTGGCCTACGTCAATGACACCATCTACGACGTGTACTACATCTACGATGACGACGATCTGGTGTACGATGATGACTATGAGAAGCCGGCGGCGGCGGCCGGCACTGGACGACCGGCCGAAACGACCACGGATAAAACGGTGAGAGGGAGAGGCCTGCTGGTGCTCGGTATCATCACCACTATACAGGCATGGAGAAGCACATAGCGCGGTAAGGACACGGAGAGTGCGACAATGGGAGAAGGAGACCACGAGCTTGATATTCGTGCGTTTAGTAACATGCGTGTTGTCAACGTATGCTGAACGGAAGGGTAGAGCTGTTTGTGATATTGGTCTTAAAGATAGCCGTCATTTATCTAGTTCGTTGTGCCAAAGAACACAAACTCGCAGATAAGAAATGGTAATTCACAAGCAGTGGGCTACAATTCTCGAGCTCGGCACTCGACTGGTGGCGCCACCTATGAACATATCGCGGATGTGTGCTGTCCTCTTGCGCATCGTTCTCAGCGCCCAACTTAACAGAATCGGCAATTTTTTCAAATGCCTTGTCTCCGGGGGTCAGCCTTCTGTGTGCGTGGCGCGCCCGGGTGGCTGGTGGTACCGGAGCCACCGGCACCGTGACCTGTTGGTGCCCGCGGGGTGACGTCATTGGTAACGGGCGTCCGTTGTGTCCGCCAGACGACCGTTGAGCCGGAAAGCAGCAGTAGCGCACCGACGACCACGCCACGGTGAGCACGGGCTCCTCCGGATCCGGACGCAGACCGTCCCGGCCGCTTCATGTCGCAGAGATGGAGTCAGGGATGGGAACCGCCTGTTACGTTTTTCAACGGTGATGGAGAAGTTTGAGGAGCCGTTGGAGAGTAAAATGTCATTGATACAATGCTGGTAAGAGGGTGTGTGTCAGTTGAAATGGGTCGCAAATTATAGCTCCTAATGCTAAGCTTGTTAATGTTTCTCGTCATGGTAGCTGAGTGCATTATCAGAAGACGAATGGCAACTGTCGTGTCAATTTTAGACGTGTTCGGACTCGACACAGACAGCGAACAAACACTACCAGAATCTCAAACCCAACCAATGAGCGTCGACGCCGACTGCGGCTGCCAACGGCAGCAGCAAAGTCCGGACGGGCCAGGTACACGCGATGCCTGATCCTGATAAACGCTGCTGGGCTTCACAGCTTCGTAACGGTGCCACCGCGCTAAAACGGCCGGCAGATTCAGAGCTGTCCCGGCCGGCACGCTTGTTATAATACACGCAACACACTGCTCTTCACGGAGGGAAGTCATAAGCAATGCCTCTGTCATGGTCTTGTGACCTAGCAACGTTTCTGGTGTGACACATGTGTTTATAGCCGGCCATCTTTTCGCTGATTCAAGCAGAGCCCCGTATAAGACGGGGCTCAGGCTGCTTCGCTGATTGCGCGGCAGCCTGTGGTCCCAGAAATTGCGAGCCACGAGCCACTGACGCACCGCATGTCGCATGAGCCGCTCCTTACACTCGACGGCACAAAGTCACGCACGAGGGTGCCACCACAGCAGCACAAGTCACTAGGTCACCACATGCCAGCCCGCACCAGCCGCACCAGTTGGAGATCATCTGCACCCAAGCCGAACAGTGCAGTGGCGGGAGGATTGAGTGTCGCTTTGCATGACTGTGCTACCTAATACGCCTGCTAATTTGATAGCGAGCCAGCTGATGATATGATGGTCTTTGAGTACATATCTGTGACTTGTATGCTATCAAATGTAGATTCAATAGCCTTTTAAGCCAAGAGAGATCATTACTCGGTTTCTTAGGGCGTTGTGTGGTCCAAAATGATACTCCTAGTGGCCTGCATATCTGAAATGAGTTTTGTGCCGAAAACACCCAGCCATCAGTATGCCAATAGCTTCTGGGGATACCGCGATATTGAGCATTGCCCAGGATATATTATGAGAAACTTGACGGTCCACGGCAATACCCACCACCACGTCGTGGCCGTGGGTTCACCTGTGACCATGGACACTGCCTTAAGCCTTAATATTTCTGATAACACGTACTGATTATCTCATATATCTCCGTTTGATCAGTTCATTCAATGGCCTGAAAGCTATTAAGCATAATAACTTAAAATGTCGAAAAACGTGAAGCTTGTGGCTTTTCTTGCTTACATCACAGATATCCGTTCCGGGCTATCCCCCAATTGCACTGTTATAACTTTCAGAAATTTCGAAATGTCTGAGAAGCATTTGAGCCACATGTTTTATACTTTTCATTGAACCGAACATTCCAAATAATGTGCGCAGAAGTGCTCCCATCTTGTCCGTATAAAGCATCCCGACCATCATGAGGCTAATGATGTATGGTATCTGCCTGGACAGCAACAATATAACTAAGATGTCCAGGAAATGGCGGCAGAAAGATCTATATTGTTGCACAGTTTTTGTTCTCGTAACCCCAAGCCTGTTTTGGCATACTCGGGGCAAATTAGTGGCCTGACTAAAACTTAAGTGCCAACAGCAGCATACTGCAGCCAACTTCAAAGGAAATTGGAAATAACCTTGCCGATAATATTGGCAGTGTACAGCTCTACACGCGATGCGGTGCGAGCTTTCACTATGCTGTAATTTGCTGCTACCATGGGCGTAGTTCCGCAGGTTGAGACGGGCTGAACTTGAAAACGTATTAAACCTAGCCAAAATTTCGAGAAACAAAAGTGCTGCTCTCCAAATTGGACCCCTTTTATCTTGAAGTGTGGGGGGCTGGAGTTCAAGTGGGGGTAGAGGTGAGGGTGGGGATGGGGTGGGGGCTGAACCCCCGAACTAAACCAGAGACTGGCTACTACCGTTTTCCTAACTGCGCGCGCAGTCTATCTAATGCCGTGCTTGCACTCGCAGACTCCGCGTGAGTTTGCATCTCTGAAGCCCTCCTGCAGGTGGAAATGCTTGCTAACGTCCTGTAGCATCGAATGTTTGTTAATGACAACCTCAACTTTAACATCGGCCCTCTCCCCGGCTGTCTGTTTGTCTGTTTGTCCACACGTCAGTTTAACCATCCGTGTGTCGGTGCGTCCAGCCGTTCGTCGTTGGTCTGCTCGTTGCTCGTTGTCGGTTGTTGCTGGTCCCCTGAGCGATGTGCACGCGCCTTTCTAGCGGTCGGCTGGCAACTGTGCGGCCCGCCAGTCGCCTGCGCCCCTCCCTGAGGCAGCGGATCGCCCGGCCGTCGGCGGCGGTACCCACCACCACCACCACCGCAACCACCACCACCACCTCCACCACCACCGCCACCACCACCACCGCCACCTCCACCACAACCACCACAACCACCACAACCACTCCCCGCAGAGCGCTGCTGCGTAACATCGTCAGGCCAAGGTTAGTAACAGGCCAGGCCCAGGTCAGTGCCAGTTCAGGCCAAGTTCAGTGCCAGGTCAGTGCCAGGGCGACCGCCGCGCAGCATTTGGAAAAGCTGAACTCTTTATTTCGCCGTGAATGCGATTACACTGCTCATCATCACGCCTCTGTTGTAACTTTCCGTTGCGGTTCTTTTTGGCACAGCCTGAGCAGATAATTAAAATAAAACTACGGGTTGCAACATTGGACACCCCAGGGCTCAGCTAAGGTCTTATAGAACTATTTGAAGGCGAAATCCATACTCGTCACATGGCACGTGCAGCCAGCGGGCTCCCAACAGGACAACATCGAATTCACTTATCCTGCTTTTCTCTCCGGGAGCGCTTCTCTTCCCATTTTTAGCTGAAAACTATCGCAAAACTGGATGAAGATAGCTTTTGCTGAGTTTGAGTATGTTACAGTACTGTATTCACGGCTTCAAAGAGGTGAGACAGCATCCCCAATCAGAGCGGAGCGTAACACAATGTTCACATTCCCGCACGGGGTCGCGTCCCACAGCGTACGTTGCTTACCCCATTGTTCAGTTTCAGTGTCCCGACCAGCCGCAAGTCGTCTACAGCCGACCTGGGCTCCACGCGCGGCACCACCCTGGGCTCCACGCGCGGCACCACGCTGGGTTCCGGACGTGGCACCACGCTGGGTTCCGTACGTGGCACCACGCTGGGCTCCACGCGCGGCACCACGCTGGGTTCCGGACGTGGCACCACGCTGGGCTCCACGCGCGGGTCCACTGTGGGCTCGACGCTCAGCTCCACACGCGGCTCGTCTCCGCTGAGTCCGTCGTCGCGCAGCCGCGCCTCATCCACGCTCGTGCCGGGCTCGAGTCGCGAGTCGGCGCGCTCTTCGTCCGAGGCGTCGGCGGCGAGTACGGCGCGCGGGCGGCAGACGTTCGTGCGGCCGAGCGCGCCGGCGGTGCCCGCCACGAGCAGCCGCCGCACGCCCAGCACCGGGCTCAAGTCGATCGACACGGGCAGCCCTCGCCGCACCTCCGGGTACGCCGGCCGGCGCCCCGGACCACCCCGCCGATGCCGGGAGGAGCGCTGGGAACTATGGATGACACGGACTCGGCCTTGGCCGGGCTGTCGACTGCCTCAGTCAATCAGCTGTCAACTGCCTCAGTCAATCAGCTGTCAACTGTCTCAGGCAATCTGCATCGAGGTCACTTGTTGTGTTTCAATGGTATTTTCTATTCGAGGGAAAATGTATGCTTCAGTTTTGCTCCATCTTTGAAGTTTACCTGTCGGTCACAAAGCATTGTGATGAGAGTGTTATGTTCAATTTTCGATCGCTGTTTTTTAGTTTCCTTCCACATTTCCAGCATCGTCTTCCCGAAGAAGACACAAAACTCAGTCGTTAGTATCAAGCCGAAGAAAATCAACGTATGGGGAAATCCTGCCAGCAGGTGCGTTCATAGGCTTACCCCATAAATACCAAATCAACCATTCAAAACCTTGCGGTGACTGTAGCTACTTTATGTCAAACAAGGATCGCCCATGCCTTCCTTCCGTAGACCAAGTCATGCATATTCGTGGTAGCATTCACCCTTCTTCCCTGCCACCCGCAAAGATAATGTCAAATGTATGCGCGGTAACATTCGGCTCCCAGCCCGCTGCTCCCCGGTGACAGGCCGCCGTGCGGCAGGCCGGCGCCGGTGTACCCACAGCCGGAGCCCGACCAGCCAGCCGAGCGCTGCGACGCTCGCTGCAAGCTGCCCGACTGCTCGTGCGGCGGCACCGCCACCCCCGGTACGTGGTCCGCTGTAGCTGTCTGCCGGCTGCTGCGGGGGGGGGGGGGGGGGGCGCTGGTCGGCTGTGGCCGGGACCTGCCAAGCCGACGTGCCCTGGCGGGTCAGTCACGGGCTCTTATTCGCCTCACGGTACAAAAGCAGGGCACCCAGGCAGGGTTTGATTTTGGGAAAAGTTGCAATTCGGTTCTAACTACAACGTGTTGAAACACTAGTACTGTGATCGTGCTAGTCTAGAAGATTGCATTGTACATTGGATGCAGGAGCAGGGGATGCATACGAGTAAGTTCCGTAGATGGACTGATGTGGTCCTCGGGTGTGTAATGCCCACAATGGGCTTCGTATTTCGTATGGCAAGCTTGCCACTCTCTTGCGGCTGATTCGTCACTCGTATTGTGTGCACTGTCCACTGAGCTCCCTGATCCAGCAATAGCGCGCCGTGTGAGCTTTCCCCTGTCCACCATCCCGCCGCTGACACCAGTGCCATTTTAGGCGGTCTTTACCCTGAGGAGGTGCCCCAGTTGGTTCTGCTCACGTTCGATGACGCCGTCAACGAGCTGAACAGGGGCCTGTATAAGGCCATGTTCGAGGAGGGTCGCACCAACCCCAACGGCTGTCCAATATCGGCCACATTCTACGTGTCACACGAGTGGACCGACTACGCGCACGTGCAGAACCTTTACGCCGACGGTCATGAGCTGGCGTCGCACTCGGTCTCGTAAGTGCAGGCCGCGGCTGCATGCGCATCTGTGCCCCTCCGCTGCGACCGATCTCGGTCTATCTCTCTCCCTCTCTGCGCCTCTCTGGCGACAGGTCGGACGGTGGCGCGACTCCACTGTCCGCTGTCCACTCAGCGCGGCAGCCGGTGTTGCTCCGCTCACGAGCGGCTCTCTGTCCGTCCGTCTGACGTCTCTCTGTCCGTCCGCTTGCAGTCTGTTCGTCCGTCTATCGTCCTCGTGCTGCATGTCGTTCGCGTTCTAACACGCAGCCCGCTGGCACGTAGCCGGCGCCTCCGCCCTGGCTCGGCATGCGCTGGTAAAGCAGCGGCTTATGAGCAGCCGACTCTGCATGCGGATAGCACGTGACTTCCACGCCGCCATTTTCTGCCTGCAACCTACGGTAACGAACTGGTCGCTGAGCGTAAGGGAATAAGGGAACCTTATGCTGAGAATTGGCATTTACAAGGCTTCTCCCAACTAAGTAAGCCGGGTGAGGCTACTCTCAACTAAGTAAGCCGGGAGAATGCAAATGCGACTAAGGCAGGCAAGTGTTTGGGAAAACCTGAGGATGTTTGGCATCGACGGCATTTGGAAAGTCCTGATGAAGACCATTCGCTGGAGGACGATGGACAATGTCATTTCTTCAGTCGTCTTTCCACTTCACTCATCCACTTCGTCCGCCGCAGTCGTCTTTCGTTTTCTCGCTGCAGCATTGGGTCCTCAACTGCGTTTGCAGCACGCCTGTGTTGCCTTCTTCGTGACTTCTTCATTGCGTTGGGCCGACGCTGTTATCCTGGAGCGCTCCTGAAGCATGTTCGATTATATGGTCAAATATCCGCTGTTGGAGGTCTACTTCACACGCAGCCTGGGGTGCGATCGTAGGCTGAACTCACTAGGCATAGTGCTCACTGATTCTGCAAAGAGGTTTTCTCAAGACAGATTTTTCTATCTCTTCCTTTATCACTCTAGGGCGCCGATAGTTCAGTGGCTAATGCGTCTGGGTTAAACACTGCGCGGAAAACCAGAGGTGCGGGGTTCGATTCCCCGCGGTCCCGCCTTTCCTGCCCCGGTGGGAGGCAGGCGATGCCATAATGCCTTACCAGCTAAGTGCGTCGTAAAGCCCCAATCACTCACCCCTGCATCACTCCGAAGTTCAATACTACAGCGTTGATTTTTTTCTCCTCAAAATTACGTCACCCAGTATCAGCTGGACCAAACGTGGATATTTGTGACCAATTTGATCTTTTGAAGGTCATACATTTCATCCCTAATGTCACATCTAAAAATTTTGGAAAGCCTACCTGTTCCTATTTTCCCAATTTAAGCGTCTTGTTTAGTTCTTGATATACCCGGGCGGATCAATGCGGCAATCACATTCGCCCCTTTAACCTGACGTGTGTGTGTGTGTGTGTGTGTGTGTGTGTGTGTGTGTGTGTGTGTGTGTGTGTGTGTGTGTGTGTGTGTGTGTGTGTGTGTGTGTGTGTGTGTGTGTGTGTGTGTGTGTGTGTGTGTGTGTGTGTGTGTGTGTGTGTGTGTGTGTGTGTGTGTGTGTGTGTGTGTGTGTGTGTGTGTGTGTGTGTGTGTGTGTGTGTGTGTGTGTGTGTGTGTGTGTGTGTGTGTGTGTGTGTGTGTGTTGTTTGCTCTTTACGTGCACTGAGCTGTTGGGGCTTGGTAGCGTCGCCTGCCTCTTACCCTGGCAGGAAGGCCGGGCACCGCCGGGGGTTGAACCCCATACCTCTCGTTTACCAGATGCGCAGCTTAGCCACAAATCTACTGGGCCACCCTCGACCTGATATGACCTGCCGCAGGTTTCATGTGACCATGTGCACCAGAAGCTATCTGATCGGGCTTGCTAAGAGCTATCCAACGTCGTGCTCCGCATTGTCGTAGCGTGATTAGTTCGTAAGATGATGGGCGGGGTCTATGCCACTCTGATCACTTTGACCTGATCTGACCTGTCAAAAATCGCGCCCACCATAGCTTAGTCACATCCGTCTCATGCAGAAATTTTCTATGGCGATTTTCTCCATAGCTATAGCTTGCTTAGATTCCGATATATTGGCTGCCTCTGAGTCCTCCCTCGTCGGGCAAAGGTGAAAAACTCCGGAAGGACGAAGAGTATCTTGCGACCAGGCGTCAGAATACTCCTTTTAGGATATTTCAATATATTACTAGCCTGTCCATTCAGTAGCAAGATTTCTTCTAACGCATATTGGTTTGCGTACTCACTTTGTGCAATTTTCGGATGAGCTTCCACTTGATTTTCTGCATTCCTCGCTTTCACAGTGCTGCCTGGATTGAGCTCCACTCAAGCCACGGCATGTGTTGCACGTGTTGCTTCGGTTAACACAAGTCTCACGTCGTCTCCGGTGCCCATCCGCCGAAATGTCTGACTACTCACCGTTTCTACCCCTTTCTGTCCCATTTCCGGATACACTCAATGAGCGTCTCCGCTGCCGGCTGATCTGCTTGGGCCCGACCTCGTGACCTCCGTCCCTGACCCTGCCCGCCCGCCTGGCTCTGTCGGCTCGCTGCGCTGACCTTTGCGTGACCTCGCCCAGGCGCCATCGAGGCCAAGGCCACCCCCCAGCTTGTGCTGCTAACCTTCGACGATTCCATCAACGACATCAACCGCGAGCTGTACGCCGAGATGTTCGAGACGGGCCGTAAGAACCCCAACGGCTGCCCCATATCGGCCACGTTCTATGTGTCGCACGAGTGGACCGACTACAAGCAGGTGCAGAACCTGTACGCTGACGGCCACGAAATCGCCTCACACTCCATCAGGTGAGCGGCCGCGTTTGCTCACCGCTCACCGCTCACCGCCACGGTGAGGGTGGTGACCAGGCCTGGACCAGGTGAAAAGACCTGGTTGCTGCGCCGTGCGGCTGGCCCGGGCTGCCTCTGATGCAGAGAGGAGCGGGTCAGGTGACCTCGTGATCGGCGGAGAAATTACTTACTGGGAATAACGACCACACACACGCGCGACCACGCAAATTCAAGAGCATAGGTCTAGCAGGGGTCTTTGATGTCGTGGATTTAATGCAGTCCTTGGGGTGGAACGTTGGTGGAATTAAAAACAATTACGTCGACAGGGATGCAGAGCCGGTTGGAAAGCAGTCAGGTCTGTATAACTTATCCAACAAAACAGTGTATGAAACGGAAGGCAATGTGTGAGAAAGATGATCAGACTGAGTGGACTCTTGGGATCTCGCCTGCGCGAGAAATTCATAAAGTTAAATTTGTCGGCGGCTTGAGCAGCTTGCACTCTGAGGGACATCACAGGGAACCTGTGCCAAATATGGCTCACCGTGTCGGATCGCCGAGCTCTAACATGCTTGTGCAAGGTGAGCAGCGTATGACAGGAAAACACCATCGAATATTAAATCAAGTGCTATGGCTGAGATCGAATCAGCATGCTGCTAGACAACATAGTGTCATTAAGCTCTTTAGTAAACGACGCCATTGATGCTTGCTAGCTTGACGCATGTGAATGTTTTATCGTGGCTCAGGTTTGTTCTCTATCTGTTGCTTGTCCTCTTGCATGCAGACGTTTTTGTTGTTTAATATATGCCATGTAGTCCGCTTTTCACAAATACCACTAACGGCCTGCGTTTGCGGTATTTGTGGTATAGATACCAGTTACCACCTAGAATAGATTGAAGAAAGTGGTGTCTGCCAAGCTGTCTAATCCATTAAAGTAATGCATGTAACATTCAAATTCACCGGGGTACTTATATCATTTTGAACAATTTTGCATTCTAAGGTGGAAGTATAGAAAGCGAAATAGTACGGAAGTCCGCCGGGTGACTTTCTTGTTTTTCCAACGGTAGGCTTTGTTAGAATAGCAAAAACATCCTTGGGCACAAGACGCAAGCAGTCTTCAAAAGGCATGGACCCAGCGCGCCATCACTGATCTTTGAGGTGCAGCCTCTGACGTGGACGTGGCCGGCTTCCAGTCACAGTTTCGGGGAGCAGTTTTCGACGTCCAAGTGGGAGGACGAGATCGCCGGACAGCGAGAGATCATGGCCGCGTACGGCGGCGTCCGGCTGGAGGACATTAGGGGCATGCGCGCCCCCTTCCTCTCGGTGAGTTAGTACACAGCATCCCCTTTCCTCTCGGTGAGTTGGCACACAGCGCCCCCTTCCTCTCGGTGGTTCGGTACACAGCGCCTTTTCTTCTCGGTGAGTTGGTAAATAGCACTCCCTTCCTCTCGGTGAGTTGGTACACAGCGCTCCTCTCCTCTCGGTGAGTTGGCACGCAGCGCTCCCTTCCTTTCGGTGAGTTGGCACGCAGCACCGCTCGGCGAGCCCTCCGGCGTCAGCTCACTGGCAGGTTTTTCGCCAGGAGCGGCCAGCCTTATCCGGTCATGACAGTGACATATGTTGTGTCGTTACGAGGTGAAATGGACACCCACCATAGTGTCACAAGACTCTTTGATGCCTCGAAGATGTGTGATGATACTCCGTAAAAGCATCATACACAGAGGCGACTTGGTCGACTCTGCACGGGGTCTATTTCCTAAAGATTTAATCCAAACCTTTTGAATGGATGGATTTCTAAGATTAGAGCTCGCGCTAAGCAGTGCTTGTAGTGAGCCTTAAGCCCGTACCATCCGATCGCGCAAGTCCAGGGCAACGGCAGAATTTGGTGGCAAAAGTTTAACGTGTCGCGCTGGTCGGCACGGTCCGCCCTACCCTCTAACGTCAACTGATATTTACCGCGGCCGCTGCCACTGGGCACAGGCCACACCTGTCAAGAGCGAGTTGGGACTATTCAGACTACCTCTGCGTAAAAGAACCCCTTGGTGCTTCTCAAAGAGCATAGGAAACCAATCTAAAGAACACCATGCGGACGACGATTTGATACCCCTGCGCAGGGTCTTTGATTTCTTTTTCGTCAAAAGTCCCCTGGATGCTCTTTTAAGGGTGTATGAATCCTTTCACGAGAAAGCACCACACAGACGGGTGTTTTGACCAACTCTGCTCAGGTTTTTTTTTTCATGGCACCCAGTACGGTTCAGAAGTTATATTTGAAACACGGAAAGCAGTATTCTAACTCCCAGACGTTCCTAGCTCAACCGACCACTGGAAAACTCCCATAGAAGACAGGATGCGGCAACTGCCCACTGCGGGTGTCAGCTGCTCATATATGACGTCACGGCTGGTGTGCAACAGTATCGCTGATCACAACATATGCGATCCTATGCAACGGCCGAATGCTTTCAGATTGGCGGCAACCGGATGTTCAAGATGTTGTACAACAACAACTTCACGTACGACTCGTCAATGCCGGTGTACGAGAACAACCCGCCGAGCTGGCCGTACACGCTGGACTACCAGATCCACCACGACTGCATGATCCCGCCCTGCCCCAACAAGGCCTATCCAGGTCAGAGCGGTGCGGCTCATCACTGCCGGACAAGCCAGTATTTCGTAAAGGCATGATCATGAGGCATTAATGCTCCTGCGACGAAGGTACGGTATTCAGACATCTACGACGAAAACGTTCAACGTTGTGGTACATATATATGTAACTGTTCGAGGATTCGACCGATGTCTTTCCCACTTCAACCAGGCATTTCATTTAGAGAAGTCTGCCACGCGGCAACCAGGTAGCCAGGAACTAAGGTACGAAGTCGTCACAGGTGTCACAACGGCAGCTCTGTTGAAGGCTGGTGGGCCATGCCAGGGTCAAGATCATGCTGTACATGGAATGTGGTGCCGATTGTGATGGGGCAGGGCCCGGGTGGCGCCCGCTGCTTCACGGCGATCTCACCTGACCTTACAGGAGTGTGGGAGGTGCCGATGGTGATGTGGCAGGACCTGAGTGGCGGCCGCTGCTCAATGGTGGACGCCTGCACAGCTCCAGACACGGCTGAGGGCGTCTACAAGATGATGATCAAGAACTTTGAGCGTCACTACACCAGTAACAGGTGACTGGGAATGTCGAGGGAGCTCTCAGGAACCAATGCTACGGGATTAGAAGGCAAGGGAGGACGTGATGCGCAACAGCGAAAGGCTGGAATTTCGCACGCAGCGCAAGGAGCCGCGCTGCACAACCGAGACCCCCGTTTGGTTCTATCTAGATCTGCTGAAAAGCCATCATCCAGGCATCTCGAAACCACTAATTTGTCACAATCCTGATCTGAATCATCTTATGGAAATGATTGCACCAGTAACATATTAATCAAAGACAAGAGCCTGTCTTCTTCCCACACTAAAGCAGGTGATGGGGCTGGAGACAGCGCGACTGTGGTGCTGGCGGCCCCAGCGCGGCTATGGTGCTCGCGACACCAGCGCCGTTGTGGTGCTAATGGCACCAGCGCGGCTGTGGTGTTGGCGGCACCAGTGCGGCTGTGGCGCTCGTGGCACCAGCGCGGCTGTGGTGCTGGCGGTACCAGCGCGGCTATGGTGTTGGCGGCACCAGCGCGGCTGTGGTGCTGGCAGCACCGGCGCGGTTGTGGTGCTCGCGGCACCAGTGCGAGCTGTGGTGCTCGTGGCACCAGCGCGGCTGTGGTGCTCGCGGCACCGGCGCGGCTGTAATGCTGGCAGCACACGCGCCGGGGTGCACCGCTGACACCGGCCGGCCGGCGCCGCAGGGCCGTGTTCCCGCTGTACTTCCACGCCGCCTGGATGACGACCGAGCACCACCGCGAGGGTTTCATGGCCTTCCTCGACACCATCAGCAAGATGGAGGACGTGTGGCTGGTCACTAACTGGCAGGCTATTCAGTGGGTCCGCGATCCGCAGCCGCTTAGCACCGTCAACAGCTTCAAGCCGTTCGGCTGCGACTACCCGGTACGGTTTGGGGGGGAGCGGGAACGAGAGTGCGGCGCAGGCTGCTAGGGTGCTGTTCTATTGTGATGATCTTGTCACGCCTGACATTATTTGTAACTACTTGCCTACCAATGACTATATATATATATATATATATATATATATATATATATATATGCATTTGTGTGTGTGTGTGAATATATGGATATATAGATCCATATGCATATATATATATATATATATATATATATATATATATATATATATATATATATGCACATATGTGATACCAGCGAGCAGCATACCTCAGGTCAAAGATGCCCGTTTTTTTTTGCCACCACGGAAAACAGGCTAAGATAGGTAAGGTATTGCTCTTCTACAATGAGCAAGCTGACAGCATATAAACTGTGCTTTTGCTTTTGTTATTTTGACACATCTTGAATAACTTAGATGCGTCGTAGCAAGTCATTTTTAAGAACACACCCTCAAGGTTCCGTGACATTCTGCGTGGGTTCATGTTGGCTTGTATTCCGCGGCGTTCCTGGTTTGGGAGTGGCGATACCGTTGGTTAACAGCTTGTTTCTCCGCACAGATAAGTTGTCATTCTGCTGGCCTGCTAAAATGTTCCCTTATTGCTGGATTTTCGTGTGTTGGCATTATACTGCCTTATTAAACACATGGTGTCCAGCCATGTCTACTTGCGTATGATTTCAGATGGCACCATCTAAAATGTGTCGTGGTTGTGCCAACCTTGTTCTGACGGCTCCAAAGCATGCATGGTTTCCGTACGTTCAGAAGGTAGCTGTTTCCAGACGCCGCAGTTTGTTTTGGGTGTCACGAAGAGTGAATGTTTCTAGGATGGGTGGTGTTGGTGTTGGACGCGAATATTCAGCTGTCCATCGTCTCATTCCAGGAGCGCCAGCGCTGCACCAAGGCCAAAAAGTGCAACCTGTGGCACAAGTCGGGGGTACGCTATATGACCACGTGTCAGCCTTGCCCCGACAAGTATCCCTGGACGGGGGCGACGGGCGTCAGCCGGTCCTGAGTCGGCGTCAGCCGGTCCTGAACTGGTCTGCGTCGACCGCGAGCTGACCCAGCTGTCTGCTGAGGCGTCTCCGGAGTGGGCCCGGAGTCTGTCAGGCCCACCGCTGTCAGCGCATTATCTCTCTCGCTCCCGCCGCTCGAGCCCAGCTGCCGCTCCCGCCCCTGGCTCCTAGCTGCCCTGGGCACCGGAGCCGGCTGCCGGGCCGACGCACACCTGTCGGCACATGGTGGCAGCTCCGGCACGCGCGGGCCCCGCCGGCGGCTCGAGGGGCGCGCATTTATTGGGCACGGAGACGTGTGTGTTTGTTGATTGTGGCACTGTCTTCGGCGCCGGTGTGATGTGCGTCAGATGATGCGGGATTGTTTATCGCTTGGGTGGGTGGCAGTGTGGTTGGGGTGTCGATCCATGGGCCTTCGACTGACTGCGGCCGCATACTGCTGACTGGTTGACGTTACTCTTTGTCTTAACTTTTGGTAGCAGGGTGAGCGCGTGCTTTACCTGGGGTGCAGGCTACGGGGCGGATAGCAGGGCGCGAGGTTGATTACGCGTCTGGGTATCGGGAAACTTCCACACCTGCACTTGGTTCAGTGCCAAGTGGTAGCACCCGTAGCCGGACTACAGGTGTGCAAGCGTCCGAGTGACGGGGTGCGAGGGACCGGAGTGACGGGGTGCGAGGGACCGGAGTATCGGGGTGCGAGGGACCGGGGAGTGCGAGCGACCGGAGTGACGGGGTGCGAGGGACTGGGGAGTGCGAGCGACCGGAGTGACGGGGTGCGAGGGGCCGGGGAGTGCGAGCGACCGGAGTATCGGGGTGCGAGGGACTGGGGAGTGCGAGCGACCAGAGTGGCGGAGTGTGAAGGACCGGGGAGTGCAGGGGACCGGAGTGACCGGGTGCGGGACTTCGGGGTGTGCGAGCGACCGGAGTGACCGGGTGCGCAGCTACGGGGCGTGCGAGCCTGACCGCTCGTGTAACGCGGAGCAGGCTCGCACTCTGCGGCTGAGTGTTGTAAGGAGACAGGGCAGACAGATAGTGAGACATTGCCGCACACTTCTCGTGGAACACTAGGGCGCAGCTGTGCCAAGGTCGCGTGCAGTTCAGGTCACTGAACTTATGAAGGTAGAGTGCCAATTTTCGTGATACTGCCCGAGTTGGAGTTAGCGCAGTTACCACCGTAGTTGGCCTGTTGTTCTAGCTTGTGGCAGCCGAGCTGGGGGGGGGGGGGGGGGGGGGGGGGGGGCGGGGGGGGGGAGGGCGAATAGGGCTTTTTTCTTTTTTGTGCGTTCAAGACCTTCGCAGCAGTCTGTGTTCTTTGCAACTGTACGCGTCTGTTACCCGCACACAAGAACTTGTTTCAACTCACCGACTGCGTATTTGGAGGGCTAGAAACGGAAGTGTATGGTCAATCATTGTATCAATACATTCGACATTATGTAGATATATCGCTAGATGAGACCTAGCATGCGTGAGACAAGAATACAATAGCAGTATTAATGGCTTTTTCAGTGTCGGTATGGAATGCACTGTCGACAGTTCGGACTGTTGGCAGTTTTCTGACCTGCGTGTCAGTTACATGCTGCAGCGGGATCCGTGTGAAGTGTCACGCCGGGGCGACCCACACTGTAGCATCACACGGCAGACCAGTGACAACGGCCAGGGCTTCACAAAGATCGGCTTCCCACGTCTGCACCAATAAGTAAAGAGCGGGCAAAATATGCTCATATAACGAAAACCGTTGGAAAACTAAAAGATCTGTTTAGCGATCGTCACTTTACCAGTACATGCTATTGTTGACTTCCGTAAACAAACTTCCGTTTTAGAAGCAAAGGGCGCGAACAAAATTATCACGTGTTTTATGACAAGATACTAGCATGAGGAACGCGTCGTAGGCATCTTTCACCTGCGCAGAACATTACCCACTAATATGTGTCAAATCGCACGCGGAAATGTTGACATACATACGATCGCATATCGCCAAGATATTGTTTGTGACGCGAGGATATCTCATTAATGCAATATTTATCCTTTCAATTTCACACGCTTTCGAGAGGCTTATACCACCTAGAAAGCTTACATTGTAATCTAAACTTATTATGTTACCCTTACTAATGTAAAGAACCTATCGAGGCACACATACAAGTATACACATATGCATGCATTCACACATGGCCACAGCAACCCTCATAAATATCCAAACACTTCTTGTGTTAAGTCTGGGTAAGCCAGACACTCGGGGAGAACAGGTCTGAGGGCCAAATGTTTCTTATGAATGGCATAACGAAACTCCGTTCGATCGATTTGGCACACTTTCAATGCGTTAAAACAGGCTATGAAAGCAAGTCATATAATATCTAGAAGCAACGATGTACGAACAAATCCCAAAACACGCTCATCACTATTTTAATGTGCACTTGAGGGTGGCCAGCGCCAGGCTTTCATCTTGACGGATGATCTGTCTGCAATTCTGTGTCTTACCGACAGCATTGACATCTGTAATTGAAAAGTAAGGTGGATTTACTGCTGCATCCATATGCACTCGTAACTCATGCATTATATACGCATACCTACCACACGATTTATGTATATAATATATATATATATATATATATATATATATATATATATATGTCAGTCCTCTCCTCATGGCCATTTCTTGAGTTTGTTTGAATAATCTGTGTCCAAAACGGATGTGGTTGTTAAAGCAGTACTCCAGAAGTCTCTGTATGTTTTGAAGCGACAGTTCTAGGATGGCGATTGCCAGGAACGGAACGAGCTGGGCGAATTTCAACGAACTTCACAGTATCATCGTAGGATCCGATCTGATTTATTAACATATTTATAGTAGCTCGTAGCGCACGTCGAGAAGCTGCCACATGCTGACGCAAATATCTCTTACGCCTACAATCGTACACGACATGGTTACAAAAACCTTGTAACTTCTGCTCACAGAGGAGCCCACAATATAACGCGTAAATTACTGTTTGTGGCATGCAGCATCAAACAACTCAACATAACAACGTTGACAACGCATCTAGCCAGGTTAAGACGCATCCCTGTTTTGGAAGGCCACCACATGCCGTTATTGTCAGCCGCCCGTGCGCGCTGCGCGCCTTTCCCCAGTTCGTTACACCAGGGCCTGCGGCTGGCCTCAGTCGGTTTCCTCGACAGTGGGGCCCTGCGGCTGGCCGCCACCCTGCGCCATCTTGGTCATGATCGGCCGACACTTATCCTGCAGCTCCTTGTACTGGTGCTCGAACTCGTCCTTCTCGGCCAGCGAGTTCTCGTCGAGCCACTTGAGCGTGGCGGCCACGGCGTCCTTGACGAGCTGCCGGTCCGACTCGGACACCTTGGCGCCCGCCTCCTCCACCGCCTGGCGCGCAGAGAATGCGTAGCTCTCCAGCTGGTTGCGCGCTGCTACGCGCTCGCGCTGCTTGTCGTCTTCCTCGCGGTACTTCTCCGCCTCGGCCAGCATGCGCTCGATCTCCGCCTTGCTCAGGCGGCCCTTGTCGTTGGTGATGGTGATCTTATTGGTGCGGCCGGTCGACTTGTCCTCAGCGCTGACGTTCAGGATGCCGTTGGAGTCGACGTCGAAGGTGACCTCGATCTGGGGAACACCGCGGGGCGACGGCGGGATGCCGGTAAGCTCGAACTTGCCGAGCAGGTTGTTGTCCTTGGTCATGGCACGCTCGCCCTCGTACACCTGGATGCTGACCGCTGGCTGGTTGTCAGAGTACGTGGTGAAGGTCTGCTGCTGCTTGCAGGGGATCCGGCTGTTGCGCTCAATCAGCTTGGTCATGACGCCACCGGCTGTTTCGATGCCGAGCGAGAGCGGCGCCACGTCCACAAGCAGCACGTCCTGGATCTCCGAGCTGGTGTCTCCGCCAAGGATGGCCGCCTGCACTGCCGCGCCGTACGCCACCGCCTCGTCTGGGTTGATGCTCAGGTTCAAGGTCTTGCCGTTGAAGAAGTCCTGCAGCAACTTCTGGATCTTGGGGATGCGCGTGGAGCCACCGACCATGACGATCTCGTGGATGGCGGCCTTCTCCAGCTTGGCGTCGCGCAGCGCCTTCTCCACCGGCTCCAGCGTGCTGCGGAACAAGTCGCTGTTGAGCTCCTCAAAGCGGGCGCGCGTCACCTTGGTGTAGAAGTCGATGCCTTCGAACAGAGCGTCGATCTCGATGTTGGCCTCGGTGCTGCTCGACAGTGTGCGCTTGGCACGCTCGCAGGCAGTGCGCAGCCGCCGGATGGCGCGCGCGTTGCCCGTCATGTCCTTCTTGTGCTTGCGCTTAAACTCCTCGACCAGGTGCTGCACCAGCTTGTTGTCAAAGTCCTCGCCGCCGAGGTGCGTGTCGCCGGCGGTGGAACGAACCTCGAACATGGAGCCGTCAGCGATGGCCAGGATCGAGACGTCGAATGTGCCGCCGCCCAGATCGTAGATGAGCACGTTCTTTTCGCCACTCAGCTTCTTGTCCAGGCCGTAGGCGAGAGCGGCAGCTGTCGGCTCGTTGATGATGCGCACGACGTTGAGGCCGGCGATCATGCCGGCGTCCTTTGTCGCCTGGCGCTGTGAGTCGTTGAAGTAGGCAGGCACCGTGATGACGGCGTCCTTGATGTTCTTGCCAAGATAGGCCTCAGCAGTCTCCTTCATCTTGGTCAGAACCATCGAGCTGATCTCCTCCGGCGTGAACTGCTTCATCTCGCCCTTGTATTCCACCTGGATCTTGGGCTTGCCTCCGTCGTTGAGGACTGCGAACGGCCAGTTCTTCATGTCCTGTTGGATCTTGGGATCGTCGAAGCGGCGCCCGATCAAACGCTTGGCGTCGAACACTGTGTTCTTGGGGTTCATGGCCACCTGACCTTTGGCCGCGTCTCCGATCAGACGCTCCGTGTCGGTGAAGCCCACATAGCTGGGCGTGGTCCTGTTGCCCTGGTCGTTGGCGATGATCTCCACCTTGCCGTGCTGGAACACCCCCACGCAGGAATAGGTCGTGCCCAGGTCGATGCCGATCGTCGTCGACTTTGCCATGTCGGACTCCCTACAGTTCCAGGTCACCAGACGCGGACAGCACCCCACGGCAGCAGCGGACCTGCACGGATGGCGGGAGCGGTGTCTGATCACCGTCGGCGGCCCGCGGCGGCTTATAACCGGCACGTCTCTACGCTACCCCGCCAAGCTTCCAGCGGGTTCTCAGGTGACGTCACTGGCTGGCTCCGGCGCCACCACTGGCCGGTGTGCGGGGCGTGTGACGTCATGCGTCGATGGCCGACGGGCCGCGGGCTATTTCGGTCGGCTGAGTAACGCGTTTGCTTTACAAAACGGCGTGCCAAGAGCAGCGCGGCCGGGATCGCCGCGACTCTTTCCGAAGGTACGGCTGGGTGCCGAATGTCTGCTTTCTGGATGGTTCGACGGGTTGGCAGGGGCGCGTTCGTCATCCCTTATACCGCACTGATCTGTGTGGCATGAGCTCTTGCTAGATCACTACCCCTGGAGTGGCGCGATCATAACACAGCTAGCATGCGGCGACACATTCTTGGCAAGGCCACAATGCAGTTTTGATATAGACAGACGCGATAATCAGGGCGCACGCTCGTCACGAAAAGACAGGACCTCTTTTGACAGGTTAGGCCCAGTCCGCACGTAGTGAATTTCTCTTAAATTCCATGTTGATGTCGATCCCCCCCCCCCCCCCCCGTCCTCTCAATCCTTCTCGAAGTATTCCACGCCAATGTGGCCATTCTTCGGCTCAGGTTGACTACCGCATTGAAAATTGAAATAGGTTTATATAAAAAATTATTTTTAAAAAGTTTATGATGCACCCGAGAGCAAAAGTAACAGCGAGAAATGATTTGTGTAGTGCAACACGCAAAGTTTATTTTAACAGCATGCAACCTTAAGACTTGGGTTGATGAATGAATAGCTACACACGCAGCTTTTGTCCGTTGCGGACGCACGAATATGCAGCTGTAGCGTTGATTTCACTTCTAGATAACACCTTTCGATCTGCCTTGTTTCCTTTGTCTAGAGGTGGCTACAAACGCTAAACGCAGTCAGAAAACACATTTTCTGTGGTAGGTAACCGGAGAGCATCGGTAGCGCACGGCGTATATACTCCAAAGGCGGGCAAAAGCACACGGCATCGGCTAGCACCACTCCAGTGAAAATATGACGGCAGCTATCTTTAACCTTTTCTGTTTTGCTTAACAGGTTGCAAAAACATTGGCCAGCTGTTTTACACAGGTGTAGCCTGCACCCATGTGCGCCTAGTAACCCACGTGTGATGCACAGAGCTTGTCCGTCCGCGTGGGTCAAAGTGGGCGTCAATATATGGAGATGCTCACGCGCAAGCGTGCGCGAACAATCGATCCGCCAGTTTTGAGGCACTCGTAATAGTTTTTGTCAGATCTCAGAAACCAGAACAGATGAAAACGTAAGACCAACTGTGCGGCGTAGGTGAACGTACCGGCTACATTTCGCTGGCGGGCATCAATGCTGTCTGGTTCATAGCCACGGCAGTAGCGCACGGAGAGGCTACCAATGTCACTTTTTCCCGAATCGGCCTCAAATACGCTTCGTTGTGGTCTATGCCGAGGCAGATCAACCCATGGAAACTCGACAAAAGCGTCATCTTAGTTATTGCAGCCAACAGGCACCCAAGCATGTACTGGTCCTTTGCAATACTTTCTCCACAGTCACCAGACTAAACCATTCAAAATCCTTCACCTTGTCGATCAGGATTGCTGAGCTTTCATTGGTCCAAAACCAACTCACGTAGTTAAATACCTGGGTGTGTTGGAGAGAGCCTCCGGTTTCTTGAATTACATAAATCGGCGGATTGCGAAATTATACACGGATTGGATTGGCATTCATAAAAATCCTTCAAAGATGGATTTGGACCAAACCGGGTTTTAAAATTTTAAGCTGCGTGGGTTCACACGGACGGTCATGTTCTAAGGCTGTAAGAGAAAACAAGCTTCCGTGCCAAAATGCCAGAAAAACGGACTAACAAAACACGTAAGCTTGAATAGTTTGTCATTGCACTCAAGGGGTGTGCATATGCCCGTAATTGATGTAATTTAACAGGCACCCGGTTGGCCGGTTGGATGCCCTTTGCTCGGGTGGGGGGTCAATTTGACAACCCACTGAGATTTCAGGAACTAAGAGAACCAGACACGCGAAATTTACAGGGTGTGATAACCTGCACGTGAACTCACTTAGGTCAAAGCTCGAGGTTCCTAGATTGTAACCTTCGGGCCAAAGAAGGTCAAACAAGGTCAAATTCCAGGCTGGTCTCCAAAGGGCTTCTGGAATCTCAATAACTGTTCTAAGCAAAAAGTCACATGCTTATCCAAGGTCAGTGTCCTCGTTTCATCTTTTGCGGTTCATGGTGACCAAAATCATACAAGAATGTTTTGAGCTTTGCGTTTGGGTAAGCGACAAATATTACGCTAGGCAGTATGTTCCTAAAAACGAAATGTTGACCTGGGTCATTCTAGGTCAGTGACCTTTCCTGACCTTTAAGAAGTCTATGAACGATGTATAATGCGGTTCCTGTGGTCAATACATCTAAAATGAGCACTAGAAAGCAACTCACACAGCAAGCCCTAGAATAAAAAATCAGGTTGATTTTGGCCTTAGTCTGACCTTCATATCTGACCTTAGGTCAATGTAATTTGTTCATTCAATCGCTATGTTGCCTTAAAATGTATCTCAGAGGTGTATTGTTTATTCTAACCATCCGTTGTTGGATCAGATTGAGCGATTCCCTAGAAATTGCCTTCGCTGAAAACATGACCTGATTTTGACTTGCCATAGATCAGCGACCTTACAAGGTATATCTAAATTTGTATGCTAGACTTTCCGCTATTGAATTGCCTACCGTACGCGCAATTTAGCGCGGCTACTTCATGCCGGTCGAAAGCCATTCCGGAAAAACCTTCGAGGGGGGGGGGGTGATTTGGCCCCCACCCGGGCGCGTGTTAAGCTACTTTCCTGTCCTCCAAAGCATCTGTCGTAGGCTATACATATCAAAACGAAATTGGAGTTGATGCATTGTCATTTATAATCACCAAAGAGTTCGCATTTCTACCAACACGTCCTGTATGCATGCCCGCAGGCTGGCCGGCCTGGCAAGGATTCGGCGAGGGCGAAGTCTAAACAAATACGCCATCAGCAGGCATCTGCCTATCGGTCTGTGTGTGCACATAACATTTGGGTCCACGAACACTCAGTAAATGGAATTAACGTTTACGTTGCGTAACCTTTTTGCGTTGGAATGTGGCGATTCGTACACAAGCATCAACGAGCAATAGCGGTACGAACATTTGCAGTCTAGAAAACACATACTCACACACGCCTGCGATACGAATAATTGCAGCATGTATAGACATTAGTGGTTACGAATATTTTCGCCGACGAACATCTACAGTACAGGGGCAGATCCAGAGGAGGTGGCCATGGGGCCATGCCCCCCCCCCCCCATTGGGCCCCGAAGGGGCCCTACAGCCTATGAGGCTATGAAGGGGCCCATAGTCGACCAAACAGACGCAGTTTTTTTAACGCAAAACGCAACCAAATTGAACATGCTTGAATTTCCAGACCGCGAAGAACAGTTGCAAACAAAAGTAAAGGACCAACGAGATGAGGGAAAAATCTTCATCAAAAATTTGGTAATTTGACATTTTAAGCCTTATTACGCTGTTTAGGGGCCCTATCCTGTTACCGGGGGACCTATATGCCAGCTTGCAGGGTCACATCATATAGGGCCCTGCAGGGTCCACATTGCCCTTGACCTCTTTGCGTTTGCTTGAAAGGCCCTGCACTGTTGTTGTGCCGTTCCTGCTAACGTGCCGGGCGCTCCTGTCAATCAGGGGCCTCCCACGGATCCTTTTTATTCGTCAGGAAGGTTCTGTGGGCTATAGACGGGCCCCATATGTTAAACTGTCGGGTTTTTCCTCGGCTGCTCGGGGGCCCTTTACGTTGGTCTCGTTTCACCTACCGACACACTCGCGATATGCTCACGGGTCTTCTGCATTGGTCTAGGGCGCTTTCAATTCCACCTTACTTGCTTAAGGCTCTACGCTCTTGTCGGAGCTCATCTGTTAACTTGCTTATGCGTACTCGGTCGGTTGGGGCCCTCCAAATTCGGTCATGAATCTGTACCGGGACACTGGATTGTTTGGGGCCCTGCAAATTGGGTATCTTAATGTAGGGCTCTATGTTCTTGTCAAGGCCATCTGATAGCCTTCTCGGATACACACGATTTCTTGGGCGCCCTCGACTCGAGGTCTTGGGTACATTTTATTTGCATGTTCTTCGCTCTTGTTGGGGGCCTATCTGATAAGCTGCTCGGGCACATTCGATCGTTCGGGAGCCCTCTCCATTGGGTCTTGGGCGCGTTCTATTTGAGTGGGGTCCTACGCACTTGTCCGGGGTCACCTCTGTTCACCATTCCGGCCAAACTGGATGGCTCGAAGGCCCTGCACATTGGATCTTGTTGTTTGAATTTAGGGTCCTTCACCTCTATGAGGCTATCCGATACCCTGCTTGGGTACACTTCATCTTTCGGGGGCTCCCCCCCTCCCCCCACTGAGTTTTGGGCATTTCTTATTTCCATGGCGGTTCTACGCTCCCGTCGCGGCCCTTTCTGCTAAGCTGCTCGGGCACATTCGATTGTTGGAGTACCTCTACGTCGAGTCTTGGGTACCTTCTTTTGAACGGAGGGCCATGCGCTCTTGACGAGGGCCCTGTCTGCTAAAGTATTCTGGCACACTCGTTTATTCGGGGGCCCTCTGCATCGTGTCGTGGGTATTTCATAATGGAACGAAAGGCCCTGCGCTCTTGTTGGCGACCCCATATGTTAGCCCCCTCGGGCACACTCAATTGTTTGGGCGCCCTTCACATTGTTTCCTGGGGACTTCCTACTTGAATGGATGGCGCTACGCTCTTGTCGGGAGCCCCATCTGTTCACCTCCTTTGAATTTAGGGCCCTGCTCTCCTGTCGGGGGCCGTCTGATAATCTGCTCGGGTACACTTCACTTTTCGGAGGCCCTCTGCACGGGGCTTGGATACCTCTTATTTGAATGGAGGGCCTTACGCTCTTGTCGGGCCTCCTCTGATAAGCTGCTGGGGTGTATTCCACCATTCGGGGGCCATCACCACTAGGTCTTGAGTGCTTCCTATTTGAATGAAGGGCCCTACGCTCTTGTTAGGGGCCCTGTCTGTCAAACTGCTCGGACACACTCGATCATTCGGGGGCCCTCTGCATTGGGTCTTGGGGACTTCCTATTTAAATGAAGGTCCCTACGCTCTTGACGGGAGCCCTATATAATAACCTGCGCGAGAACTGGGCCGCACCGTTGTCGGGGCTCCCATCTGTTACCTGCTCGAGCACGCGCTATCATTGCGAGGCTCTCCATGCTGTGTTTTGGTTACTTCTTAGTTGGATGTATGGCCCTATGGCCTCGGCGGGCCCCATCTATTAAGCTGCGCGGGCCGCTGGCGGATGCAGACGGGGAGGGAAAAGGCACGGGTCCATGCCCCCCCCCCCCCCCCATGAACCATGTCGACGGGACTTATAGGCTCTAGAGGGGTTCACAATCGGCCGAACAGACACAGCTTTCTGAAATATATTACACACAACACAAATGAACGTCTTTGGGCCTACCGACGGCCTAGAGCCGTTGCTGGCAAAAGTAAGGAGTTCATAAACAAACAAGGTTTATTTTTTGCTGATTGAGGAGGTGTTGCTTGGGGGAAATTTTGGGGCTCATTACGCTGCCCAGAGACATTACGCTGTTGTCCGGGCCCTATATGTCCACTTGCCGGGTCAATCTTATCGCTAAGGACCCTTCCACGTTGCCATTGATCTCTTTTCATTTTCTCGTAGGGCCCAATGCTGCTGTTGGGACGGTATCTGCTTCCATGCCTGAGCAGTCTTGATCGATCAGGTCTTTCTCCACGGATTTTTCCTGTTCTCCCGAAAGGCTTTTCCGGAGCTTCATATGCCAGGTTACGCTCAGTTGCTCCATGGCCCATCATATTAGCATCGGGTTCTTTCCACTTGCTCGGTGGACCGTGTGCTGTTGCTGGAGCGGACATATGATGAGGCACCGAGACACTCGATGCTCAGGGGCTCTTCATTTTAATTTAGGGCTCTTTCCCTTTGACTCCATTTTCCGAGGACTCTTCACTCCTGTCAAGGCTCTTGCTGTTAACCTGCCCGGGTGCTCTTGATCGCACAGGGGTATTAATTAATGGTCTTGGGCAATTCCCCTTTGCTCAGAGGGCCATGTGCTCCGGCCGGGGCCTTATATCTCAGCCTGGCGGGGCACTACCGATCGTTTAGGGACACACCGCACTGGTCTTGGGCTCTTTTTACTTGCTCTAAAGACCTTATACTGGTTGGCAGGAGCCTGTTTGTTCGCCTCCTGCGGCGTCCATGATCGCTCAGGTTTCGTCCCTATTGTCATTGGTGCCTTAGCGTTAGAATGGCAGTGAGATATGAGCCGATGAATTTTTACCCGCAGTTATCGAACGTAATTTTACGTGCCTCCGACGTCGTATGTGTCATTTTCCTGGGCTTTTTGAGTGTGTGACTTATTAATACTTTCTGGTGCATGCGAAAATATGATATGATGTGGAAGCCAGCTGGAAGCCAGTTTAAAGTCCACCCGTAGCCCATGCCAACATTAACCCAGTTGCCCCACGTTTAGCAAATGTGGTACCCATGTGGGAATGTTGGCTGGACTGGCCACTGCACTGTAGAAAGGTATCAGGCCGCTCGCTCCATTCCGTTGGTAATTCCAACTGACGGGCCACACCGGGCCGCAGTGAAATACTGGCTTGAACGTTTGCAAAACCCAGGGTACCATTAACACCTGCCGGCATAAATGCATGAGGATCCCAACAGTGGATTCATTACCCCATCGACAGACACATTTGTGGGATCCTGGAATCTTGTTTCCGGCACCAGGCACATGTCTGCATGCCGGTGTACGCGTCTAAAAACGATGTGGGTTCTGCGACCTCACATTTTATTCAAGATGCAGGCATGATCATTCTATAAGAAGGCCTTTAGAAGTAAGAGAAAGAAGCCCTTTCATCCCTGCTTCTGAACAAAAAATGTAGAAACCGTAGAGACCGTGTGATTTCATCAAATTTCTGTGTTATTACGTTCTCCCCTCAACTCTCAAAGTATTTGCTGTCTTTTCTCGCTTCTTTTTACACGACCTTGATCTACGGTAGACGTCAGATTTCGATAGTGGCGCACACATTTGTAGTGGCGGCATGTTGTGCTGTGCTGGTGTGCGGAAGATGTGATTGGATTATCCGGCAGTTTTGTTTTGTGAGCATTCCATGTGAATTTGCTTGACCAGTAAGGATTAAGTCTCTGAATGTGATATTTTTGATCAATAAGAAATTCGTAGCTCATTTTGTAAGTAGCACGCGTAGCTAATTGTTATACGAGTACTATACCGGTTTTCAAGTAAAAGCCAGTTTGCGTTTTTATTCGTCTACAAACGGAGCTAAAGTACCGACAGGCTGGTTCCATCACCGAAGTGAGAAGATTTGACACCATAGCCTTGATGAAGAAAGGGTGAGTTTCAGCACCATCTCAGAGGCACATATAAAGCTTGCCAAAAAGTTCCTCGTTTTTTTCCTACCATCAGCTGAATGTTTTGACCTGAATAGCCCAAGAAAATCATGAGCACCCAAAAAGTTCTCTTATGGTGCCTTGTTTTGCCTGGAATACAAGGGAGTAGTATGCATGGTTGTGCTCTATTAGAATAAGTTTTATGGCACCTCCAATGTACATGATGCCAGTCGTGAGACAACATCAAATGATATCAAATCAATCTTCTTCATCAAATAGCTATTGCCTCATAGCAGAAGTTTTGGTGCACACTGGTGAGGCAATATGAACACAAACTCACATTTCCCCTATAATCACATTTGATATCAGGATAATATATATATATATATATATATATAGATATAGATATAGATATAGATATAGATATAGATATAGATATAGATATAGATATAGATATAGATATAGATATATATATATATATATATATATATGTATATATATATGTATATATATAGATATATATATATAGAGCCATCAACCAGTGGTAGTTTTGAAAGGAATTTGGATGACATAATTGGTTGTCTTTTTATGAAACATGCAATTGATGTGCCTACAGCATCATGCTCTGCTGTGTTTTTATCTTTTTGTAGCATGCACATTACATTAGGTACTTTAGATGAAGACAAAATACATCATAATCTCTGCAAGTAATTTTTGGTGATACTGTTTATGCCTGTGATGCTTCCTATAGCCAGGAGTGTAGTTTCCTTTTCAGTCTAAGGTGACAGGCACAGTACACCTGTACCATCCCCTGCAATGCATGCTGCAGCCCCTCAGCTTTGAAGAGAGAGTGCATGTAATCCAGAGGGAAGGCTATTTTTTGCATATGTTACATCTGCTTTTACAGTTTGGCCACACCCCAACCCCATGCCCAGCTTATTCTGTCAAACTGCACTCCTGCTCATAGCAAGTACAGAACTTGAGGCCAAAAAGTTTTTTTTCTATTTAACACCATATTTTGTACTGTAATTGTCCAATCTGCAATTCTGGCTCAGTCACTGGCTTTTTATTGTGTAGGGGAGGACAGAGCAACTGAACCATGCTTTTAATGATGGTGAGAACATGAGTTAAAAACTACTCCCCTGGTCTACAGGGTGCCCCAAAATTGATGTGTGGTTGGTGCCACCTATCATTTCCCTCTCCTGAACATTGAGTGAGTGAAATTTTACTATGCTCAGCCCCAGGGCATCCTGCCATGTCAGGCGATTACATGACCCCAGCTGGCAGCCTTAGGGGCACCTCTCAGGCCACCCCTGCCCCCTGGTACACTGAGCCCAGCTCAGCCTCCTGGCTGGTCTCAGGCCACTCGTGCCCCCAGGTACACCAAGCCCAGATCAGCCTCCTGGCTGGTCTCAGGGCGCTCCTGCCCTCAGGTGCGCCGAGCCCAGCTCAGCGTCCTGGCTGGTCTAAGGCCACTACCTGTCCCCAGGCCCACTGAGCCCAGCTCAGCCTCTTGGCTGGTCTCAGACCACTCCTGCCCTCAGGTACACCAAGCCCAGCTCAGCCTCCTGGCTGTTCTCAGACCACCACCTGTCTCCAGGTCCGCCGAGCCCAGCTCAGCCTCCTGGCTGTTCTCAGACCACCACCTGTCCCCAGGTCTGCCGAGCCCAGGTCAGCTTCCTGGCTGGTCTCAGGGTGCTCCTGCCCTCAGGTGCGCCGAGCCCAGCTCAGTGTCCTGGCTGGTCTAAGGCCACTCCTGCCCCCAGGTACGCCGAGCCCAGCTCAGCCTCCTGGCTGTTCTCGGACCACCACCTGTCCCCAGGTCCGCCGAGCCCAGATCAGCCTCCTGGCTGGTCTCAGGGCACTCCTGCCCTCAGGTGCACCGAGCCCAGCTCAGCGTCCTGGCTGGTCTAAGGCCACTCCTGCCCCCAGGTACGCCGAGCCCAGCTCGACGATGAGGTCGCGGATGGCTGGCTCGCGTGGGCCTCAGCGCTTCATGCTGCTGGCGCTGGTGCTGGCGCTAGCCGTGGTCGGCCTCAACTACTGGCGCTTGATGACGGTCAACGCCGATTTGACGGAGCGCGTGCGCCGCTTGGACGAGTTGCTGGTGGCTGCGTGAGTGGAGCTGGCGGCCGGCGTCAGTCGGCGCCGCGGCTGACCCTCTGCACAGACATGCGCAGGGAGCCTCCCCAGCAGAAGTGTGGGCGGCCCCAACTGACCGTGGTGTGACAAGGTGGTCTGCGACGTCACCGCTAACTGCGTGCGGCCCAGAGACCCGCGGCGACGCTAGACCGTGGGACGTTTGTGTTGGAGGCATTTGTTTAGTAGGAAGAGGGAGAGGGGTGGGGGGGGGGGGGGGAGTGTTTGATGTGAAGTGACGTTGGGAGTCCGTGAACTGGTGTTTGATGCTGTGATGATGCTGTGATGCCCAGCTTGGCTAATTTGTCCTCACATCGCTACTTTTACACTGGTGCTCTGATTTCATTTCCTGGAGGCTTGAGCATGATTGCGGTTCACTGTCACTGACACTGCTCTTCCCAAGAGGAATGCTCATACAATAAATTTTCCCACCATGTGCAGTTGCATGTTTTGCTATCATAAGAGCTGTTTACCTGTGCTCAGAAATACAAAGTGGACGACTCTGGAGGGCGAGCGTCAGGCGACCAGTGACGAGCTACTCAAGGCCAAGGCGCAGCTACAAAAGCTGCAGGTCGACCTGGAGGAGAAGGTTTCCAAGCTGCAGGAGCAGGCGGACAAGTTGGCCGACATGGAGGACGACAAGTCGGACCCTGCAGAAGGAAGCAGAGGAGAACAAGGAGAGGCATGTGAGTGACAGAGACCTCGCCCCATCCCATATCCGATTGTGGGTGGCGCTCTGGGATTGACAGCTGCACAGCCGATGTTTGGGGTTGTCTGTGCTGCGTCGGTCATATTCAGATCATCACTGCTCGGTATGTGCCGGCGAACAGGACGTACGTCGGGTCAGGTCACGTTGACAGGTGGCCAAGGCGGCGCGACAGGTTATCGCACTGCGCCACCGCTGCCGCAGCGCACGCGGTGTCGTGCCCCGCGCCGGTCGGCGAGGCGGCCGGCTGTTGAAGCTGACGAGCGGACCGCGCGCTGACAGGAGCAGGAGCTGGCGCGGCAGGGCGCCGGCCTGGAGCAGCAGCTGACCGAGGCGGAGGAGCGGCTGGCCGCCGCCAGACGGGAGCTCGACACCGCCCGCCGCCAGCTGGCCGCCTGCGCCAACGAGACATGCGACGGTCGACTGACGCAGGTCAGCTGCGGCCTGCGCGCGCTGCCGACCAGCAACGTGCGCTCAAACGTGCGAGTGGGCTGAGCGCAGCACATAAGCTATTAACTTACTGGCAGTGGAAATAATTGAGCCCTAGAATGTTGATGTAGTGAAAACTATGTACTGTTTTCGCTATAATCCGCTCGAAGTTTACGCTTGGATGGCCGACGTACCCAGCATTCGCCATTTGTCCTAGATCGTCATGCCGTCCGTTCATTTTTGTTGCACTGTGTTCTTGCCATTGATGGTTCTAGTAATGTGAATGTATGGGACAGTGTACCCCTTGGTGAAGCCACCACGTAGCCCGACGTCAGTTACGTACTCCTGTGCAGTACCCGGCGCGTTGTCTGGTGCCGCTCGTTGCAGTGTCCGGTGCAGTAGCCGGTGCCGCCTTCCGTCGTTTCAGCTGCAATTTGATCTGGAGACGTGCCGGTTCGCCCAGAAACACGCCGGTAACCCGGGCGTCCGGCGGCCGCCAGGTGGGTCGACGGCGGACACCGCCGGCCAGCCGGGTTTATTCGTCCGCCGCGCTCGCTGGTCCGCATGCTGACGATGTTGTGGAACGTGCACGTCTGTCGGTGTCGCCACTTGTCCGTAGTGTCCACTGTGCTGTCCTCGCCGTGCTGCCTGGCCAGTGCGCTTGTGAGGCCATCTGGAAGGTGAGGGCTTCATGTGATGTAAGTCCGTATGCACGCTCGGCGTGGTCATTGGGGGAGGCCGACCAGCAGGCGCGCGTGCGTCGTCGCGCCAAGATAATGACAGTAGCTACGTGCTCGGTAATGCAAACCCATTATATGCATTGTTGTAGGATCTACCGAACGGGTATTTCCTGTGGCGTGGTAAGTACACTTGGATCGTGTAAAGAGTGACACGAGCCGAAAACTACTTCAAGGTTAAATGCTCGCATGTAAAGGCAACGCAGGTTGAGCTGCCAACTTTTGTCGAGGTGTTAGAATGATCAAGCTTAGGGTTTTACACCGATCGCAAGGATCGTTGCGTTGTCGTCGACGATTGCTGTCTTCTAAAATCGACCCGGCGCTTATCTGAACGCGTTACCATTGACGTTACTACTGTGCAGTCACGGACGACAGATCCCTCCGCCAGCGTCTTCTTCGGACCGCGGCCGCCTCCGATCCCGTGTACGCGTCTCCGCCTCCAGACCAGACCAGACCAGACCCTGGCCGACGCTCGGCCGTGCCGTATCAGCGATGGCCGGGCCTCCCGCACGCCTCTACACGGGCCCTGATTGGTTTTCACGACGTCCCCCCCCCCCCTGCCCCAAACAAGATCAGTCCCGCCTTCGGCCGAACCAGCGGCCCTTCGGAGCCGGTGGCCGAGTGCAGGCGGTGTTGGTGGTCGCATTGTTAAAGGCACGCGTCACAGAATGGAAGCGGTTGGGTTCGATTCCTGCCACAGGGCATGTTCGTTGGCCGCGGTTTCTAGTCGAGGTGGGGACGCTAACGACTGGGCAGCCCCGTCCGTCCGTCCGTGACTGTCCAGCTGGGGCTCAGGGCCGCGGTGACGCGGGCGGTGCTGACAGGCGGCGGCGACGCCCGCGGCCCCGGCCAGCTGCCGCTGCTAGCGCCCGATGTTGTGCGCGTCGTACATCGCCATGCCCACGGCACGCTCCGTCCGGCCTCCGCCATCCACCCGCTGGACCCGGCGGACGCGTACCGGCCGCCGCCGCGGGTGTCGGTCGGCGCCGCGCCAGGTCCGTGGTCCGGCTGGAGGTCCCCGGCGCCGGGCCGCCCAGCATCGGTGGCGGTACTCTCGCCCGCTGTCGCGCCGGACAGTGCCGCCCGCGCAGGGTGGAGCGGTGCTCGGCTGTTACGGCGGGGGCGTGGGAGCGCAGTCCTCCGCCGCCGGGCCGCCCTCGTGGTCTCTGCTGGGCTTGCTTGCCGCGGTGGATGGCGCTGTGCGGCGGCGGCGCTGGAAAGATGCGGGCGCGGTGAGCACAGGCGGTTTGGCACGGGGACTATTTGCTGCAGTCAGTCAGGGGCATGTCGTCGTCGATCGAGCTAACTGGTGGCATGTGTAGGGGAGGCAATGGAATGGCGTTGTTGGCTGCCTCGTCTTCTGCTGCGATACTTTTGACCTCATGGGGATGCTTTTCGTGTAAATGTGTTAACCCACTTTTCGCTGGGGTCGTTAACAAATGATCGATATATTATAATGAATGCAACACTGCTGCAGGAGTGCAATGCAATACTTTTGAAAGCATGCAGGCTTTTATCGAAACGTTGGCTTGAAAACTAATGCAGTAGCTCCCCACAGGGGCTTATGTGCTTATATCTCTATGCTTCTATGTTTGTATACACCCGTGTCTTAAACTCCGTCGTGCCATGCCGCTCACCTGTAAATATTGGCATGTGGGATGAACCATTGACGGTGTCGTCCACTCCTTTCTCTCGTTTTGAAGAGAATGATTTGGACGTCGAGCTGAGTCACCTCGGATATTTCACTGGTTCAAAATGTGAAAAGCGTGCACTTTGTGTGAAAGATCCGACTGCACTTGTGCTGTGCGCCCGGGTTCAGGTCACTGCCGTCCGTGGTGAGCCACGTCCGCGGTCACGTCCGAAGCCGGCCATTACCACCTGTGCTTCACTGGAGGAATGTCCCCCGGTGGTGGTGTGTGCCTAGCTGGACAGCAGCGGACGTGGGCCGCCGAGTATGTGCCTGAGCGGTTGAGGCGACTCTGACAGACGCCGTGTCTGTCCGCATCAGCGCTCAGCCCGGCCTGAGCCCAGCCCCTCTGCCTGCCTCGCAGGGGGCAGCACGGCGGCGGGCCGCGGCGGCCTGGACCGGCTGTTCGAGAGCGGCGGTATGGCCAGCTTCCTGCCGGCGGCGTCGCGCCTGGCCGTGCCGCCGCCGCCGCAGCAGCAGCAGCCGCACCAGGTGACGTGCCTTTGTTTTGTGACGGGCTCCGCAGCGTCGTCTCGGGACGGCCCGGGGGGGGGGGGGGGCGAGGTACTGTCTGACTGATCACGCAGACGAATTGAAGGGACGATGGGGCCAAGCTGTAGGCATAGGTGCCATGTGAACGTCGCTTTGTGAAACAGTTGCACCTGCCCGACCCTCCCTTCCGCGGTTCTCGCTCCTTTTCTGTCGGGGTGAGAAGCAATTGACGAGGCAGACTATAAAGCGTCAGGTACTGAGGGCGTCGCAAAGCCCCCGTGCCAACAGCCACAGCCTGCCTGACTTGACCTCTCCGATAATAGCATGGTGAGGTTGTGACCCGACACTGTTCGGACGCGACCAGGCCTGTCCGCCGCATGGCCTCGCCCGTGCCGCTGACAGATTTGTGACCGGCCGCTGCGCTGCGACAGGCGAAGGCGGTGGCCGGTCCTACGTCCGTGCAGCCGCGTCCGGTGGACGCCGACGGCGCGCCGCCGCCGCCGCCGCCGCTCGGCGCTGACGCCCCGGCCGCGCCGGCTGAGGCCGAGGCCGCGGCGGACGCTGCGCCGGACGCGGCGCCCGGCCAGGGCGACATGGTGCCCGAGGTGGCGCCCGTGGAGGGCGACGTGGTGCCGGGCGAGACGGCCGGCAAGGCGGACGCGGCGCCGGACGCGGCGCCCGGCCAGGGCGACGTGGTGCCCGAGGTGGCGCCCGTGGAGGGCGACGTGGTGCCGGGCGAGACGGCCGGCAAGGCGGACGCGGCGCCGGACGCGGCGCCCGGCCAGGGCGACATGGTGCGGGACTCTCCGCCCGAGGAGGAGAAGGCTGCGGCCGCCGCGCGCGAGCCGGAGCCGGAGCCGGAGCCGGAGCCGGCCGTGGAGCAGGCGCCGGTGGAGGACGGCGCCGGTTTGCTGAGCGCACCCGGTCGCCAGGAGCCGGTGCAGGCCGCGCCCGCCGGCGATCCGCTCGACCTGGAGTACCCCAACAACCGGATCAAGGGTCAGTCGGGCGGGCAACCCTGGGGAACCTCGCCTCGGCCGGTCCCTGGACTCCCGATCGTGACCGGTGAACAGACCGCCAGTCGCAGCCAATAGCGTGCTCTGAGTGCCAACAGCAGTCCCCTCCATGGGCCGTCGAGCAATCAGCCCCGGGAAGCCCCGTGACCCATGTGACGTGACTCCGCGCCGCTCACTGCCGTGACTGCGCCGCCTCCAGAGGAGCTGGAGAAACCGGACGCGCCGCTGGACGAGGAGGCCGGCCAGAACGGCGAGGCGGCGCCGCCGTCGCCACCGCAGGACAACACGGCCGTGAAGGAGGCGGCCCTCATCAGCGGCCTGCAGGAGCTCTCGGAGAAGGCTGCCAAGCCGGAGTCGGCCGCCGGGCCCGCAGGTACGCGCCGCGCCAGCCGCCCCTGGTGATTAGCAGCAGCAGGGTCGACGCGGACGACCTGGGATGGTATCCTGCGCGCTGCCGCCAGGCAGGATGGAATGGTGTTCTGTTCAGGACAGTGCGTGTCGCCGTTGGTTGGAAAGAGAGAAGCTCGCTCTTGCGCTAGTACCGTTGCGGTCAGGATTCCGAGTGCGTCTCGGACGTTCCTTCGCGCGGACCTGAGCGCAGCGGGGACCGTAGCGTGCCTTCCGCAACTCTGGCGCTCCTGTGCCCTCGGCTTCCAGGCCCCTCTGCCCTCGGACCCCGGTTGTGTCCCCACGTCTTGGATCGGTGAGCGCGGTGTGTGAGCGCGGTGCGCCCAGGAGCCGTGTCACGATGTGATGTCGCGATGCAACGTTCACGCCTCGTTTGCGGCGCGTGTCGTGTGGGTGGTGAGCTACGTCACACCCTGGGCTTCCTCGTAACTGGCTGTGGCTGGGTGTGGTTTCTGTCCTGCCGCTCCGCCTTGTGAGGCCCCTCTCACTGGAGTTTCCTAATGACAGGGGCCGACGAACCTGGCGCTGGCGACGGCGACGACGGCGGTGACGACGGCGGTGACGACGGCGATGGCGGCGGGGCCGGGCCCAAGTCGGCCGAGGCGGCCGGCGAGCAGCGGATGGCCGACTTCGAGGACCTGGGCGCCGTCTAGGAGCGAGCCACGCCGGGCGCGCGCCCGATGTGGCCCTGACGCAGCCGGCGCGCCTCGAGACTGTTCGGTCCGGCGGGCTGGCCGGGCGGCATCCCCGCGGGGCGGGAGTCGGCGGCGGCCGCGAGTGTGACCGCCGCCGGAGGACGGCCGGCCGGCCGGCCGCGCGCCCTGTCTCCGCTCGGCCGCCCAGCCGGACGCCAGCCGCATGGATCGGTTTTGGCCGAGAGACTCGACGGTGACGCGGCGTCAGGCCTCGAACGCCGTGGGAGATTATCACACCGAGGCGCCACCGGGGCCGGCCGGCGGCGCTGCTCACGTGCAATCGCAGGTTTGCTCGGCTCTATCGTCACGGCCGAGCTGCCTCGCCGCGGCCCGCGGCCGCGAGCGATCGCCAGTTATCAGACACCCTTCGTTGTGTATGCAGCTGTGATATGTACCACTTTGTGCGACGACTCGTGCCTGTCCTGAAGCTTTACTGCTGTCACGACGCGCACCACGAGCTTGATGCCACCCGACTGGCTGGCGTTTCGTTTCCAGCCCTCCCATGTTGACCTGTCTTGCCGTGGCGCTGCTATTACGACCACACCCAGTCCCAGGAGGAACGCAGCTGGTAAGTATATTCGTATCAGCGCGTTGGCTGTCTTGTTAGGTGGGAACGCACGGAACCCAGCGCGCATGGGCCGAGTGAAGACGCCCAATGGACAGTGCTTGGTCTGGTCCTGGCACTGAAAAACTTCTGTGAGGTAGAATCGCCCCAGGTGCAGGGCCGTGTGGGTTGGATTGTGTCTGTGACCTGTTCGGAAACGTATCTATCGCCTTTTAACAATGGGTTGAACTGGATGAGGTGCAGCCTGCTCAGAGGTCCCCGGTCGCTGCCCCAGGCGCTCATAGTGGCGCTGCGTTGCTGGGAGTTTTCAGCGCGGCTCGTGGCCTTGATACCTGTAGTGTGACGTCACGCGGGATGGACCAGCCCGTACGCCAATTGATATGGTGGATCGATACATTCAGTCTTGCGTTGGCACATCAGCGGAGATACTTTACACTGGTTTTGGGCTGGTGCTAGATTGTGGGCATTGAAGCCGACGTGCGGTGTGTAGTGAGATCACTGAGGTCACATATTTTAATTGTTCTGGCTTGCCTTGATGCGCACGAGTGTCATTCCAAGACAATATACGAATTAGATACGGCATGGTGTCGCTCTCGAATACAAATGAAGGGATGGGCTCACAAGGAGAGTGGTTTCATTCGTCTCAAGGGTTTACTAAGCGGCAGTGAGGATTTTTTCCTGGGACGCGGCAACGTGGCGCGTCCTGCGGAACCCAACATGCCCCGTGTTTTGAAACAGTAATCCCGGCTGAAAACGGCAGCGTGCGGCGTCCAAAGCCCGTCGGCAGACGCGTCATCGGACGTTTGGTGGGCCTGGAGGGGTGGACACCCGACCCATTTAGCATCCCGGTTACGGCGCGTCAGCGCTCAGCAGACGGTTAGCGACGTATCAGCGCTCAGCAGAAGGTTACCGGCCCATCAGGGCTTAGTAGCCCGGTTACGACGCATCAACGCCCAGCAGACGGTTACGGCGCATCAGCGCCCAGCAGACGGTTACGGCGCATCAGGGCTTAGTAGCCCGGTTACGACGCATCAACGCCCAGCAGACGGTTACGGCGCATCAGTGCTCAGCAGACGGTTACGGCGCATCAGTGCTCAGCAGACGGTTACGGCGCATCGGGCTTAGTAGCCCGGTTGCGGCACGTCAGTGCCCAGCAGACGGCTACGACACATCCGCGCTCACCGCCATATTCCGAGCGTTCATATGCCGCTGACGACGCGCCGAGTGTCGCGTTCCTTACGTGCTGAGTTCGCCTGAGCGTCATGGAGGATGTGGCGACAGACGGGTCAGGCGAGATGTTCCTTGAACGGCTTTAGTTGAGCTGAGTTCAATGTTAACTCGCGGACGGAGACGGACGCGATGACGGAGGGTCGCAGGTGACGTTACAAGACAACTGACCCGAGAAATTGGCTATGAAGCGCTTTACTTTACAAAGTGCACACTCGTACATGGACGAAGCTATATGCCCGAACGGTGGTATGCCGCGGGGAGAAATGTTGACACACGCTCCAAAATGTCAGTGGTTCATTTTTAGGGAGGGGCCTAACTAGATCGAGGCATTCGCAAGTACGATGGGAGGCGACAACGGTCTGAGCGCTGGGCTTGAGATCCCGCATGTCGTTAGTGAGGAGCGTGGACAGCCTGAACCAGCAGATCACTCGAGCTGTCCTGCTTCGCTCGGACCGTTCCCATTCTGAGTCCTTTCATTTGAGCTTGCCATGTATGGGTCTGGAGGGCAGCACTCACAGACCCGCGGGCAGCTGACAGCAGTGTATTCCCGCCGTCCACACAGCCATTGACACTTCGCTGGGTCTCATGTCACTCCTCCCAGAGCGGCGAGTATTTTGTACGGACGGCGGAGTCATTGCGGACGGCGTGGGCCGGCCCCCGCACGGCTGTCCAAGCTTCACTACGCGAGCCACCGGGGCAGTTAAAATTACGCACATGATAAACGCTGGGCACGAATGGCATCACAAGTAATATCAATGGATAGTAGAGAATAATAGCTGCTGTGCATCGACGCTGATACCTGATCAAAAGGCGTACGTGGCAGGAATCACCAGATCACAACACAACGGCGGCATCTTCGAAGACGCCTACAACTCGGAGCAGAATACGAGCAGGACACGGCGACGCCCCGCCACTGATACCACCTTCCCATCAGGCCCGCCACGCTGGGCGCGGGGTCGGCCTTGGACGCAAAACACGGATCGACCCCATCCGGCATCGAGCGCCCCTATTCGCACGCGAGGGCACGGAGTGTTGCACGACGCTGCCCGCCAGGTGCACCCGCCGCCGACCGTGACCCCAGCGCGTCTCGCGACCACAGCCCCGCCACTGGCAGAGCTCGACGAGCCGCCACGAGGAGCAGACGTCACTTGTAAATAATATCGGGTAGCGGTCTGCACCAACACCAGCCAAGCTCCGCACAGTCTCATTGCCACCGGCTCACAAAGCAGGCTGATTCTACCTGCCGGCTCGGACGGGCGTTCCGACGACCGACCCCAGACGGTCGCCCGCGCAGTTTGCTGCGCTCGCCGCCGTCTCCCGCCGGCCGTTCCCGCGCTCGCCGGTCGGCTGCGGAGCGACAGTGGGAGGCAGGACCAGCGTGGGGCAGGCACAAAGAACAAACACAGGAACTGCGATGACAATGCTGCGGGCGGCTGGCCTACACAGTAACGCGGCGGCTCCAAAACGCCCTTCACGCGCGGATCGCCGCTGATGGCCGGTCTCGGCCGCTCGGGTACCGGCAGGGCAGGCGGTGGTGGCCGCCGGGAGGAAGACCGACCAGGCCCAGCGGGATGCCGCCGGGTCGCCCGCGGACGCCGCTACTGCAGCTCTTCAGTCCGGCCGGGCGCGCCGTCGACCCAGCTACTCAGGATGGATAGACGTCCAGCAGCGGCGCCTCTTCCGGCCAGCGTAGAAGCTGCGGCAGCTCAGGCCAGCTTGGCGTGCAGCTGCTGCAGCTCGACGCCGAGCGGCGGGGTGCGGGTGATGGGCGGCGGCGGCGGCGGCGCACTGGCGGCCGCACGCATCGTGGACCGGTCGATCATGGGCGCCACGGTGAAGCTGCGTGCCAGCGACAGCAGGTTCCGCTCCATGGCCCATTCTGCGGCAGGCCACGTCAGGTCAGGTCAGGTCGTTCGCGGCAACGCATCACGCGCGCGGCGGTCGTCTCTGTGGCCGCCAGACGGCGTTCTCAATCGGTGTGAGAATAAGGCTTACTGATGACGAGGGAGACTGTTGATTACGAAGATTGCCGAGGACGTGACACGAACGAGATATGTGGATGTCAGAGGTAAATGCTCAGATTGACGCGAGGATGACTAAGTTACGGCCGACCCAACTGCCACGGGGGTCGATGGCCAGTTTAGACTGCGTAGTAGGCACAATTACGCTGACTTCGCTTTCATGGCATTGTTGGTTAAACGAGGGATTTAATAGAAACACAGCGAAAAGCATGCAGCAGCTCGACAATCACCACGGGAAACTCATGATGACGGTTATTTGAGTAGCTCATTAGTGAGGTTTATGAGATTGCACGATCACAATAAAAAACTGATGCCTGGCAACCGGCATCTTTGCGAACACTTCATAATTTCAAACGCTGTCCTGACATCATGCACACGGTCCGAAAACGGTGATGTAAATTGTAACCAAGGTCGATACATTAGCACACATATAAATATCAGAGAAGCAAATAAGCCCCAAGATGTCACAACGCTTTACATGCAACTCATAAACTGCAGAGTTACGATATCTATTTCGCATGGTTAGCCTCCGACGATATCGATTTACGCCCACAAAATCTACACTTGTCTGACTACCCACCAGTCAAAGCACGACCAACCAGCTGCCATCTCTTCGGCGAAGCGATATGGAAACGTCAACGAAAAGACTGGCAGGCTTCAGGAAACGATGGAACACAAAAGCACAATACTTGGTGCGCAGCTCACAAAACTGGGCGAAGCGTTGCATGCATAAGCAAGCACTACAATGCAGACGGCAGGCTAGCGGATCTGCGGAGCACTTACCCAGCTCCAAGCACGGCAGCCGCTCCCGCCGGCCGCCGGCCGCCGGCCCAAGCCATCACCACGCGCGTCCACGGCCACCAGGCGTTACACCACGCGTGCCCGCGGCCACCAGGCGTTAGTTACGAATGGCACACATATATATTCTGTTATAATGCGGCGATGGCACGGGCGAGTGATTCCGGGCGACGCGGCACGACCACTGCAGGCCGCGGTCCCCAGCAGGACAGCCCGGTGCGGCGGCCGCCCCCGGAGGCCGGCTGCTGGCCCAGCGTGACCGGCCATGACGGACAGCGCGGTCACAGGCGGTCGGCACACACAGCACCGACCAACGACAGACAGCCGGCAGCTCCGAGCAGACGCAGACATACAGCTGACCACACGGGCCCCGGGTAGACATACAGCAGACCACACGGGCCCCGAGCAGACATACAGCAGACCGCACGGGCCCCGAGCAGACATACAGCAACCCGCACGGGTGCTGGATAGACATACAGCTAACCACACGGGCCCCGGGTAGACATGCGGCAGACTGCACGGGCCCCGAGCAGACATAAAGCAGACCGCACGGGCCCCGGACAGACATACAGCAGACCGCACTGGCCCCGAGCAGACATACAGCAGACCGCACGGGTCCCGAGCAGACTAACAGCAGACCGCACGGGCCCCGAGCAGACTAGCAGCAGACCGCACTGGCCCCGAGCAGAAACACGACAGATTGCACGTCCCCGGGCAAACATAACCCAGACTGTGCGGTCTCCAGGAGCCCACATACAACAGACTGCGCGGTGCTGCTCCAGCCGTCTAACGCGATAACGCGAGCGGAAAGGCGTCGATTCCGCCTCGGGCAGCGGGGTGCGCCAAAGCCGCCGGGGCGTCCGACCGGCCAGTCCGGACGCTGTAGACTCCGCGCGGCACCGGGGCTGGTCAGATCGCCCCCACCGCGCAGCCGCGGCCCGGCACAAGGACCCGGCCGCCCTCCCAGTCGGCCGCGACACAGAACACAGCAGCACCGCCTCAGGGATCGCGGAACCAGACGCAGCAGCGCTGCCGCGCCCGGCCGGCGCCAGCGAGACCACGCCGCCACGGTAGCGGCACGGCAAGCCGCTGTGATCGCCCGCTACCGCTCCAGACAGGCAGCGGTCCGGGGGCGCGCCTCCGCCTCCGCAGACGCCACGGCAGCGAGCGCGTATCACAGATCACTGAGGTTACTCCACCACCGGTGCCAACCACTACGACAAGGCCAGACGAAGTCGACGCTATGCGAGTCATTGTGGCGAAAGGCGAAGGCGTCCCCGGATCACGGATGACAAAACAGAACAAGAGCACGACAGTCACACAGTTGCCCCAGGATACTTCCAGATACCATGAACAATCGACTGAGTATCAAGATACACAGTTTTGCACAAACAATACGCGGTAACATCTAGTAAAACAGCACATAGCATCACTGCAACGCACAGTGCATGGCGTTCAGCCCCACCGCGGCAGCTCAATCGTCTAACGCAACGGGGTCCCTTTCTGCTCCCACAATATGCGACATGAAGCATCAGGCCCGGCCACAGCGGCCGCCACCCTCGCCGCCTGCGGCCGTCAGGGACTAGATATCGAGATTGGTCGCGCGCGGCCGGCCGCCCGAGCGGCGGTCATGTGTCGGTCGCAGCCGCGCTGGCCCGTCGCCCGTCTGGAGCGGCGCGCCGCCGCGGACCGGCTGCGGTGCCGAACAGCTGCTGACCGAGGCGCCGGGACCCACGGCGGCGACCCTCCGGCCACCCGGGCCCGAGCGGAGGAACGAGGCGAGGCGCGGCCGCACCCAGACCGGCGCGGCGAGCATCACCGGCGGCCGACACCACGCTGCACAAGGATGTGGCTGACGCGGGGAAGGCTCCCCGGCCGGACCCCGCCGGGACACAGGCCTGCCGGTCTGGCGGGGTGGGCACTACGGAGCTGACCTGGCCGCACCCGGCCGGCGGCGACTAGCGAGGCACGAGCTGAGCGGAGCGAGCGCGGGCCGGGAGGCGGCCCGCCCGCCGTCGACTCCGGCTCTCACCGGACGGCCGGCAGGCAGGCACGTGTCGAGCTCAGGCCGGCCACGCCGCAGCTCGCGGCACCGGGACAGCCGCCTCGGGGCATCACGAAGGGATGGTCCGCCGCCGGCGCGCGCAGGATCAGGCTCAGGATCAGAACCGCCGCTCTTCGGCGTGGTCCGGACCGGGCTCGGCACAGTCCAGGAGGTGGGCGCGGCGCCGGCGCGCGGTCAGCCGGCCGGACCAGGTCAGGAGAACGTGTCCGTGTGGTGGTAGTGGCCGGGCGGCGCGCGCGACCGCGAGCCGCGCGGTCCGCCCGACAGGTGACGGAACCAGTTGCGGATGTCGGCCGAGGTGACGGACAGGTAGGTCTGCTCGTCCGGCTCGTCGCCGTCCAGCAGCAGCCGGCGATCGTCCTTACGCTTGCCGGCGCCGGGCTTGCGTCGGTTCCGTCGGTTCACCACGCCGCTCTCCTCGTCCATCATGCGGATGATCTGCGGAGGAGGGCGGCTCAGACGGTCCGGCGGAGGCGCCGCTGCCCGCGCAGCCCGGCGGCCGCGCCACATGGCCGCCTCCACGGGGTGGCCCGATCGGCGCACGTCCACACGGACCAGCTGAGTGCGAGCAAGAGCATCTGGCAGCAGCAGGCGTACTCCCTGCTACCAACAAACGGACTGTGCGCAGTAGGCCAGGGGCGAGCTGCCAGACAGCGTCTCCCGAGCGCACCGGACCCCCACCTCGGCCTGGTCGGAGGCGTCGATCGGCGCCACCGAGATGTCCCGCACCGCGCGGAATTTGCCGCAGTTGTTCAGGTGCTCGTTCTCCAAGCGGAAAAAGTTCCAGACGAACCTCCTGCGGGCAGACGTGGGGCCTTTACCCCAAGAGATGCTCCATACCCACTTGGTTGTCCCAGCGATTCACGAGTCGCGAGCAGAGACGACGCACGCGTGACGTCCACTGCTCCCTCCCCTGATGAGACACAGCTGTGATGTGTCACTTGGCTGCAACGGCTAACGCACGTGACTGGTTCATATGAGCAGCCTCCCGGCCATAGTGCGTTATTCATGGCCTCCTTGTGCGTACGATGGGCACGAACTGGCCGCACACTGCCGGACCAAGGCCACGGTACGCGCACACCGCAGTGCGTGCTATCACCACACGCGCATCTCGCCAGGCGCGGCAGTATGCGCACGAGCGTCACAGACGGCCCTGGACTGGGCCGGCAACGGGCCGGCAGCGAACCGCCGCACTGGCGCCGCTGTAACCGGTCTGTGACGTCAGCACGGCGGCCGTAGTCGGCTATCGGTTCAGCCGGCGCGGCTCACCTGAATATCTCGAGCGGCGGCGAGATGACGGCCAGCACGGGCGGGAAGCCAGGCTGCACCACAGATATCACCAGGCCCACCGACCACAAGAAGCGCAGCACAAAGTCCTCCACGATGGCGAAGTAGTACACCTGCAGACACGGGGTCAGAGAGGGGCGGGAGTCAGAGGGCGGGCGTCACAGGGGCGGGGGTCAGACAGGCGGGGTACAGATGAACTGGGGTCGAGGGGCGGCGGTCCGGGAGGGACGGGGTCAGAGGGACAGGGGTCAGAGGGACAGGGGTCAGAGGGACGGGGTCAGAGGGACAGGAGTCAGAGGGAAGGGGATTAGAGAGGGACGGGGGTCAGAGGGACGGGGATCACAGAGGATCACAGAGCCGTCGGCCCGGCGCGAGCGCACGGGCCGACGGCAGGCCGAGCCCCGACAGGGTGCACCACGTGCCGCCGGCCGCCGACTGCCCCGCACCCGGCGCCGTCCACTGACGCGCGCACGCCGACCACTTGTCACGCAGCTGCACCATGCTTGTGAGGCGCCACACGGACAACGTGGCAATCGTCGCACAACGCTACCGTTTTGATGCGGTCTGAATACCGCCCACGCTGGCCGCCAACATCTCCATGCTGGGCATCTCCATCGTTGCTGAAGGCGTCACCAAGCTGGGACGACGGCGCCACCAAGCTGGCCGAAGCTGGGACGAACGAGCCGTCGAGGGATCAGTTCCGCCTCCCATCAGCGGCACCGCCTCGCGATCATGGCCGATACTTACCGGCGTCGAGTAGACGAGTTCCTCCCTGAGGAACCTGTTGTCTCCTGCGTTGCTGTCGAACAGGCCCCAGTCCATCTTGATATCCCACGTGTAGGTGTATATCGAGTTAAATAACAAACTACAAATGAACAAGTAAAAATACGGGTTCTCGAAGTGAGAGTCGTAATCCCCTGAAACAGATGAAGAAAGGTGTAATCAAAGGCCAGGGCCTGCCAGCAAAGCAACCACTTATACGGGCGAGAGAACTGATAAAATCACAAAAAAACATTCCAAAGGTGAAGCAATTAGACAAATCATTTCATTTCAACCGTCTCCAGCCACGTGTATGATACGTCATCACTTTAAACAGCTATCTCAACTGATCTGAAGTGTATGGGACCCCATAAAGCACCAGCCACATCAGTCCTGATAGCACCGCTCAGGGGACGACTCTGAAAATAGGTGGCCGCCCACAAACCATTGCAGAACAAGCAATCAGCTGATGCGTGTGGAGTTTGGCGAGATTTCTCGCGAACTGTTTCGCCGCCAACTGAAATGGCATAAATGCCGGTTCCAGCTGCAGGGATTGGTATAAGTAGGGGAGACAGCATTTTCCAAACCCGATAACGCTGACCTGCCGCCCGTTGTAAACAGGCGGCGGGTCAGCGTTATCAACGGGACCTCTTGAATCTCGAGACCTAATTAATCTCTCTGCCGCCCCCCCCCCCCCTACACACACATACACAGAGAACGAAACTTTTCGCCCTCAGACGTCACTCACCCATGCGTGTGCGGTAGAGGGTGCCGAAGGCCACCTTGAAGAAGGAGGTGGAGTACTTGCCGGCGTTGACCAGGTGGGGGAACGCCTCACGCGTGTCGCGGTAGCGGCGCAGGCACTGGGCGAACCGGAACCAGGCCGGCAGACACGCCACCACGATATGGGAGGCGAACGACGGCGCGAAACACGAATAGTCCTCGGGGTCTGCGGCCAGCCGGCGGAGAGACGCACGGTCAGGAGATCCGGCAACACAAGAGCACGCTGCAGCGAAACAGGGCAACGAGACGACGGCCTTCGGCAAGAGAGAGAGAGAAGAGAGAGAGAGAGCGAGAGAGAGAGAGAGAGAGAGAGAGAGAGAGAGAGAGAGAGAGAGAGAAGAGAGAGAGAGAGAGAAGAGAGAGAGAAGAGAGAGTCAGAGACAGAAGACAGAGACAGAGACAGAGACGAGACGAGACAGAGACAGAGACGAGACAAGAGACAGACCAGAACGAGACAGAGACAGAGACAGAGACAGAGAGACAGAGACAGAGACAGAAAGACAGAGACAGAGACAGCAGACAGAGACAGAGACAGAGACAGAGACAGAGACAAGAGGACAGTAGACAGAAGACAGACAGAAGAGACAGAGACAGAGACAGAGACAGAGACAGAGACTAGACAGAGAACAGAGACAGAGACAGAGAACAAGAAAAAAGAAAAAAAAAAAAAAAAAAGAAAAAAAAAAAGGAGACAGAGACAGAGACAGAAGACAGAGACCAGAGACAAAGAGACAGAGACAGAACAAGTCAAGACCAGAGACAGAGACAGAGACAGAGAATCAGAGACAGAGACAGAGACAGAGGCAAGACAGAGACAGAGACAGAGACAGACAGAGAGAGAGAGAGAGAGAGAGAGAGGAGAGAGAGAGAGAGAGAGAGAGAGAGAGAGAGAGAGAGAGAGAGAGAGAGAGAGAGAGAGAGAGAGAGAGAGAGAGAGAGAGAGACCAAACGACGGACACGTTGGTCACACGCTCATCCCCGCGCGAGCCAGATTGGCGTCCCATCCAGACGCTAGGACGGGGGATGATGGGTTCATACCAGACTGAAAACAAACACCGCGCGGCGGCTCAACACTTAGTGGTCAAGCCAGCGCTCGCCACTTCAGACCATGTTTCGACGGGGAGCGGGGACTCAGCGATACCACGTTTCAGTGGGCACCGAGTCAAGCGTTGTCAACGGACCGAAACGGCTACAGAGTGGCAGCGGTACCCGTCCCCAAGGGTGTGCCGAGTCGAGGCCGGGCCCGCGTTCTACAGAGTGGCAACGGTACCTGCCCCCAAGGGTGTGCCGAGTCGAGGCCGGGCCCGCGCTCTGACTAGGGGGGAGCCGGGCGGCGCGTACCTTTGACCTCAGACCACTCGCCGGCCTGTGTGACGTAAAAACAGACGATAAAATCGAAGTCCTGCAGCACGGTGGCCAGGCTGTTAATCTGGTCGGCCAGCCAGAAGTCGGCGAACCCCACGTGGCAGAAGGGCGCGCACAGCACGCGGCACTGGCGGGCGCAAGAAAACACGGCTTAAGTGACGCTCAAATAAAGGACAACGTACTGGGGAGTCGAGCGATGCTAGCAAGGTAAGACGGGGAGGGCCTGGCACTTGCCAGCAGCCGCGAACACGCCGCCAGACAGTGTTTTCTGCGGATCAAGCTCCTCATACGTCCTCACGGGTGGTATTGCCTTTACCACGTGTGATTGCACTGCGGTGGAAATCGCGTCGACGTATCAGTCAAAGCGGCGCAGAAGCGACACACTTCAACCGACTAATCGATAAGCCCTGAACAGTCAGTATCGAGCACGCTCATCCACAACGCACGACATCGTATCGCTGCTTAACAGGGTGTATTTCTGACGTTTGAAAGCAGACGCACTAATCAGTGTCATTGAATATACATATTGGATCTGAGCAACGATTGCACGCGCCATTCGGAACATCACTAAACCGGTCCCAGTTTCGGCACGGGCGCCATTTCAGATTGAATTCAGAGATTGGAGCAAAAGCAACTGTAATAGCGCTGCAGCGCCGCCGGTCTGGCTCTGTACGGCCATGTAGCTCAACGCCCGAAAGCATACTTAACCGAGCCAACGGCCGCTGCGGCACTAACCAGCGACGTGGGCGTGATTCGACCGTCGGGACCCGGGCCAGCCGACCACATTACCACCCACGGAACACGTCACGTGTCAATGCCGGCCACAAGAGGAGAGCGCATCAGGCCTGTAGCCAACGCTAAGCCACAGACAAGCATGACAAACACTTCGCCTACCCGCCACGTGATAACGTTGCTGAGCGACCACCAGGGTGCCGCCAAATCCGTGCCAATGCAGAGGCGGAATGGCGGCCTCATGGCGCTAACAGCCCGGGGCGCGCCACGCCCGACGGTCGCCGGCTTACGTACCACAATCTTGATAAGCCAGAAGCGGGCCTCGTGCCGCAGCGACTTGGTCGGGTTGAGCAGAAACACGAGCATGAAGGTGGTGAGTATGAGCGGGTTGATGTACGGTGGTATGCCGAGACTCTCACTGGAACGCAGGGCGTCGGTCAGCGCGGACACACGCGGACGCAGGGGGCGGGCTCAGTCAGGCAGGGAGCGGCAGGGAAGCTGGAGTCTGACGCTGGCACACCACACTGACATGAGCTAGCCGCAGTAACCACCACTGAAGACACGCCAGTGCCCACAGTGCGGCAGGCCGGCCAGCTGCTGCGACACCGCACTCGCTGCGGCAATCACCCGGCTCACAGTCACGAGCCTAACAAGCCGAGCGGGCCGAAACGACCGCAGCCGGCCGCGCGGACCAGGCGCCGCCGCTGAGTCAGAGGGCTCCGCCAACTGCTCGGCACCTGCCGAGCCCCGCCGGCGCCGGACCGCGCAGCCGCGAGAGCGCGGCGGCCCGCCCGCTGCCTCACCTGTACAGGAAGCAGAGCACCATGACGGCCCAGATGACGCCGAAGATGGCAGCAATCTCCATCAGCGCCTGCGCCGACAGGTGGCTGCGCGGGTTGAGCTCGAAGATGAGCACGTGGTTCACGCCGGCCGAGCGCCAGCCGTGCACGTTGATGCCGATCAGGAAAATGAAGAGCGTGACGTGGAAGGGGCCGCGGAACAGCCGCAGCACCGTGTACCAGTCGTGGCCCTCAGCGTGAAACACGGCTGCAAGGAGCGGCCGCCGTCAGCCGGCGCCCTGGCGACGGGACGGCACGGGGCGGGCTCTCACACCCCGCGGAACAGCCGCAGCACCGTGTACCAGTCGTGGCCCTTAGCGTGAAACACGGTTGCAAGGAGTGGCCGCCGTCAGCCGGCGCCCTGGCGACGGGACGGCACAGGGCGGGCTCTCGCATCCCGCGGCTCAGCGGAAGTACGCTCCACGGTGGCGCTGTCCAGGCAGGCCGGGCAGCGTCACGCGGAGGACGCGTCACGCCCTGTTGCACGCTACGCTCTTTACATCGTTACGCGTAATTGCCACCGGTCATCTGGCACGACTGCCAACTGCGCGGCGCGTGACGTCACAGACAGGTGCCAGCGCGCGGCGAGCGCAAGTGTCGGCAGGCGGACACGTGAGAGGGGCACGGACTGGCGGTGTCCATCACTCGGTGTCTCGCCCGCGAAGGGCGACATGAGCCGCATCTGCAGGCCGATTACACGTATGCTAAGTGCAGCGGCGCGTCCCATTCCCGGCCAGCCGTACGTCAGCAGGTTTTCTGTCGAACTGGCCGGTGGCGTGCCGGACACAGCGTCACCATACATCAGCCGTTCCCCTGGGACCGGCACCAGGCCGTGGTCAGGCGGAGCGTCTCAGCACCGACGGTGCGGGACGCGCCGCTCGCCGGGCGCTGACTGACGGCGCCCCGCCACGACACGTGCTCGAGACCCGGGCCGGCGACGACCGGTCGGTTGCAGGAGCAGGGCCGATGGGTGCGTGGTGACCCCGTCCGCGCGGTGGGAGGGCTTCGGTGCGCTAGTGCACGCTGGGATGATGCCATCGAGGTCAGGCGCTGCCCGAGACAAGACCGCCGGTCGGGCCTACTTCGCGCGGCTCCGCTGCCTTCCCGATCGGTCTCAGTCAGTCCTACACGAACCTGACAGACGTCGGCCACGCTGGATGAGGCGGGGGAGGGAGGCGAAAGGGGGGGGGGGGGGTCGCCTGCCACACGCCAGCCCCCTGCCGACACGTCCGGCTGCTCACCGAGCGTCAGTCCGACCCAGCGACCGGCGCCGGCCCGCCTGCTGTCATATCGCCTCACCCGTCAGGATGACAGCTGTCACGAGGACGACGAAGGCGCCCAGGAACAGGCCCACCTTGAAGGTGGTCCATGGCGACTGCTGCTCGCCCAGCGGCGGCACCCGCAGCCGCTTCATCGCCTTCTGCCTACCGGCGGCCGGCGGCCGGAGGCCAGGTCAGCCGGGCCGGTCCCGGCACGCCAGCACAGCACGCACACGTCCGGACGCCGGGATCGGCGCCGTCAGATAGCGGACGGGACGAGCCGCCGCGATCGCTCACTTCTTACGTCCACGCCTCCGGTCAACAAATCATAACAGACGGCCAGGACAAATTTGCGTGTTACATTGCCCACCGCGTGACACACTTCTTGTCTAGGCAGCAAAAAGCATCGCGCCAAGCCGCGCGCCATGTGCTAACAAGACAGTAGTGACTCGGGTCACATCTGACGTCGCACCGCAGTGTTCTCGCCGCACCAGCCGGGCGGCGCGGAGCGGGGCGGCCGTCACCGCGCGGTCCTGACCTGTCGCCGCCCTCTAGGTCGGCGGTGACCTGGTTCTCGGTGGCGCGGATCAGCTTGTCGATGTCCTTGTTGGTGTAGAACACAGCCGGCTCCACGTTGTCCAGCCGCCACTTGGCGCCGGTCTCTAAGCTGAGGATCTGCGGATGTAGGAACATTCCGACCGCTCCAGACCTCAACTCAAGGCCGGTAACGTCGGAGTCGCGGCAAGAAGGCGGGTGTACGCGCTTTTCTGCTCGTGGTCTAATCCTTGTGTCTCGCATGACTTCAGGGGTTCAAGAGTCGGCGAACACCGGCCCCTACAAACACCTGGTCAGCAGCCCCCCTCCCCCGGACACATCGCCGCTCATCACGCGCGCCCCCCGTCCACCCACCTTGTCATGCTTCTTGAGAATCTTCTTGAAGCCCATGAAGTTGAGGCTCTGGTAGTTCTGCAGCAGGATGAGGCTGAGGTAGAACTCTGAGAAGGCCAGCTTCATGTTCTGCGCCTTGCGAACGGAGGTGCGGCGGCGCAGGCCGAAGCCGCGCGCCTTGCTGGAGCCGGGCAGCGCCTCGGCGTCCTGCCGGGCCGCCAGCTCGCTCTGCAGGCTGGCATATTTACGCTGTGCCTCGGCCAACTTCTCTGTGGTCAGCCGATTACGGACAATGTTAGCAAAGACGCTAGCGAGCGAGAACGGAACACACACCACATTGCCACAAACAATGGCAGTCCGACGAGTTTCTGCTGGATGACGGTGGCATAAAGTGAGTGCTTACATTGGGTGCGGGAAATCAATTTTGATAAGCATTATACTTCCTGAAAACTGGATCAGACACAGGTTGTTTGAAGCACAGAACTACTGCAACACATTGCTTCAAAATAATTGTGCTGTCTGTTCCAACAAAGGAAGCATGGCATAGGTACAGACACCAACACACTAATATAAACACCATTCTCACCAGAGAAAAATGTGTTTATCTTCTCCAACTCCTTGTCACAAAAGTGCAGGAAGTGTTCATCAAAACCAGCAAAGTAGCGTTGGACATCTTCTTGATCCACTACTTCAGCTGATGGTGCCTTTTCAAGTGCTGCATACAGCTTAGACTTCATCTCCTATTGGCAAGTTTTACACTGTCAAACATGCTTGCTGCAATCTCAACAAGTGAGGCAACATGAGCATGTTGTGGCAACATGAGTATGTAACTTCTTGAAATAATGACTACCATCCCATTCCATGGCAGAGCAGCCAGGCTCAATTGCAGCATTTTTGTCCAGCTTGACCATGCTCCCTTTAAGCTATAATAACCTAATTGTGTTCATAATGAAAATAAGATGTATACAGTGTATTTTTTACAATGGGAGCAAGCTTTGCATCCAGAACATAAATTTTGACCAATATTCACTTACCTCATACTGGATGTATTGTGTTCTCCATTCTGGAGTTATATGTGCTGAGAGATGTTCAGCAAACTTCATCTTCACTGTATAGAAGACTAGCAGAGCAGTGAGCTGAAAGTAATTGAGGCAGTGAGCTGGCCATAATTGGGCAACAGTGACACACCATCCCACAGGTCCATAGGCACCTGAAGTAAAGGCCAGTGCAACATACATGTTGATATCCATTTGCAACATGGGCAACAGCACATGTGGTACCTTAAACCAAACCTGCAACTAGATTGATCATCCTAAAATACCACAACAGGTACTCAATGCAAGAATATTTTTATCACACTTATATTCAATGCCATGAAGATGCACAGAAGTATGCACAATTGACTGTCCAGCAAATAGCAAAGATATCAGTGATTTCGTACTTACATCATGAAATGACTAGATCTGCAGATGACTAGAAGGACTTCCACCAATTATCTCTACTACTGCCTACATCTTCTGTGTTATATGGTCAGTTCTCTGTGGAATGACAGCACTCAAACAAAATTGCACATGGTTAAAGTGGACACAAAACAAACACAGGTTACTTGAACCTAACCTGAGCCAAAGTACATATTTAAAATGGAATGGATGGAATCACAACCTGGCGCTGTTCAGTACAACTTTGGCATGTAACACATCTACCAGCAAAGGTTAAGGCTAGAAGGGATGGTCATATATGCAACAACATTTACATTGTAGTTAACTTGCTGCTCTGCTATAACACCACCAAGGATGGAATGGGAGAAGGGACCATTAAACCAATTATGCAAGAATAGAAATGCTGTTCATATGTTCTCATGTTTTGTCAGACAACCAGTCATGATTTACCACCTTCTAGGTTATCACAATTTCTTTGAAAGTTCTGAACAAAGTAACATTTTGTGTGATGACCATACTGGGCCAGTAGTTTATCAAAAACCCTGTGGAAGGTCAACATGCATGCTGCATAAGACCAGATATTCCAGCTTGCTGATGTTTGATGATGATGATTTGAGCTTTGGGGCACACTGACTACGTTTGTCATGTGGCGCCCATTGCTGTTTTGATATGGACAATTCATCACATGTGCATACACCAAACCAACCTTATGATTCCATATGCATGATGAAAGAGCTGAGTAGCCCAAAAAAGTTTGTAATTCAATCTCCGTATCTAAATCCTAGGTCTAATAGCACTGCAAAACTTATCCCCATCCATCAAAACACCCTGCATAATAGGGCTAACTGCAGAAGAAATTGATAGAATTGCATGACACATTGCATCCAATCCCACAACCCTGATTAAGAACGAGTTCAAATGTCCACAAAACATACTTCATCAAACGAATGGAATCATCGGGGACAAAGGCTGGATGTACACATGCATCACGGTCCCCTAACTGATTCGTGTTTAAGGCTATGCCTTTATGAGGCCTTTAGAACATTAATTATCCCAAACCCAGAAATTAAAAGCATCCAGCCTACCATAAAATGTCTTCGAAACCAAACCGGCCACATGATACAAATACAGCAACACCTCCACGGACTCCTTGCCTAACTGGCGCTGCTTTGTCGCAGCTGATCGCAGCAGAAGACTAAAACCAGGGTTAATGCCTTCAGCCTATCTAGTATTGCCTACCGCTTGGTGTCACACCGCCAAAAGTGACGTAATTGAACTGACGACAATGAACTGCCTGCGAAGCTAATTGGTTTACGCTGTTCATGGACAACCCAGACTGCGTTATTTTGCAGTGGTGTAGGCTTCTCTATTACGACCAGATCAAATTTTGGGGGCTCTTCTTAAAGACTGTCAACAATGATTGCTCTCATTTTCAGATATTTCGATTTTGTTACAAGCACATATGTAACAACGAGCTTTCTTGACGTTTCCGGCCTCCATCACATTGAAACTGAAACGCAAATTGCTTTCTAAGCAACCTCGCGGTTGCTCCAAATATTTCTGCCAGAAATGGGATTCGGACCGCCATAACAGACCGCGACTGCAAAATGTTTTCGAGGGTATCAATCAGGGATGTAGCATACGAAATGAGGATCTTTAACGAATTGGAACTGGGAACGCAGCTCAAATTTTTTGAAGGGGGTTAGTGTGAGAAATCGCGCCAATGTTTAATTGTCTGTGGTTTCTGACGGTACAAAAATTGAAAAGGTCAACACAAAAATGCGAGGCTTAAGCAGACCCCATGACTCTCGGCTGCGACTGTGGGGGTAATCGAGGCGCAACAAGGGGAGGGGGTCAGACAACGGAGTAACATATCACACTCTGGTGTGGTTGCAAATCATGCCATTGAAAATGTTTTCAGGCCTTAAACCCGGATACCAATTGGTTTCCCTGATAACATCAGGGAAGTATCGCATCTTTGATGTTGAGGATGAGTATTTTCTTTAAAATATCGTTACGGGCACGCTTTAAAGAAAACACCCTAGTGAAACCTCAGGTCTGGTTACGTCTTTTGATTGTACTGGTGAGTGACACTACAGCACGGCCAAGACATGACAGGGATGTCACTTTGAATTTACTTTCGAGTCCAAATTACGCCACCAACGCTTTGTAACAGCACTACACTTATTCCATGCAGTCGCGACCTGCGTCGTCGGATAACATCATGCACACCTCTACTAGTGCGAATAAAAGAACGTTTGTGATTGGCCCAGCAGACAAGGCGTTACCGAAAGGTGCATTGGTTGAAGCTTGAACCAGTGCGCTGTATGGGCAGTGTTCTAGAACTGCCGACTATGGGTGTAAAGCAACACCCTATGAGGAGGAAGTTTTCACTCCTTTTCCCCATATTTTATGCGAATATTTCAAGCCTGCCTGACATTGTCTAATCGCACATGCCAAACTCCTATTTCCCTTTCTGAGGTTTTCAGATGTCATCCAAAAACGAGCTCACTTGAAACCATCAAGCATAAACGAGGCTCTGCAGAACCTGGACACCGATGTCTATGTCCTGCCTCACCTACATCTGAATCGTGTCTATGTATGTACAGAGCAATGGCGCCAGGTACCTCCAAGCCCAAGAACCCCAGCGACCCCATCCGCTTGCAAGCATTAAGCTTGGTTTGTTTACAAAATGCATCATAATTTGCAGCTGTGCGCCAAACTCAAAACGACGAAAGCATGTTCACTACCACGTTTCCTTCTTCGAATCAATAGGGTGGGACTAAAAGACCGAAATAGCTAGCACACAGCCTCATGCTCCAAAACTACTTGAGTAACCGTTTGAGACTATGACCGTTTGAAGTATTAACTTCCATTGCACAAATAGGTAGCCCATTCGGTTTCCAGAACCTGTAGCTCAGCTTGTCACGAAACATTGACGTTCTGTAACACTGTAGTGGATCGGCCCATCGCTGTTCCAAAAATGGTGACCCAAGGTGAGGTCAGAAGTCATCACTTTTGTCCCACTCCGGAACTTGTCTCAGGAGGCTGACTTCGGCGCGCCGCAGGCACGTGTAACGTCTTTCATCACGTAGAACAATACTGGGTGCTCTTGATTTCATTTGTAGCGTATCTTCGTGGAAATTTGAAGTAGTCACGTACATATTAATGCATGTCACGTGTCTGCTACGGGTGAGGGGGTGGGTGTTAAGGTTTAAGGACAGATGGCTGAATACCATCTCACCGAAGGTAAAAGCCCCGAATGAATTTTTGCCGCTATGTTATTTGCTGCCCTGCTGACTAGGCAGATGGCTAAAAGGCGGAAAGCATGATGACATCATGTGTTCCGATGACGTACAAACTGTCGAAATGCAAAAAAGTCAATATGCTGACCAATATACAATATACGGCCACGTTAATTATCCGCGTGTCAATATGCCGAAAGGGATTTAATCGGGTGGCAATGGTTGAATGTAAAATCGCCGAATGACCCATTAACCGAGTGCCTGTTTTTAAAAATGTGTATATAACCTCCCAAAGGTTCTACTTGTCATTGCTGGAACGTATCTTTCCTAAGCAGTCTAACGAGAGCTTTTAAATGCTATCAATTTCCCGTAACTTCAGCTTGCCTGGCCTTTGAAATGTTAAGAGGGCTGCTGAGGCCTTCACTCGTAGGGCGATGGCAAAAGAACCCGCTCACAGGGCATGGGTTGGAGGTTTTTGCCTATAACCCAGTAACAATATCCCGACCCACAATCATTCGAATAAAGGCCATGCAGCTTATTAGCATTCGAATAAAGACCATTTAGCTAGTTAGCACTCGAATAAAGACCATTCAGCTAATTAGCATTCGACTGAAGAACATGTCGGCAAATGAACATTCGAGAAAGTTTGAAAGTTAGCGTTGAACTAAAGAACGTAGGGCTTCCTTTGGATCATTTGGGACCTCTTGCCGATCAAAAGGGCCTGTTGTTGGCCATCTTGGTTGCCTACTAAGGGGTGATATTGTATTCTGCGTGTCGTTGGCACGATGGCAATTCTTCCGCTTCGATGATCTTTGACCCACTGTGATCATGAACGGATGTCCTGAAATTTTCCTGGTTAAAAAGATGCGTCCTCCCTTTTGGAAAATACCAGGGAGTTGCCGATTGCACTCTCCCCCCCCCCCCCCCCCCCCTCTGTTTCCACTATCTCTCCAGGGTTCTTACCATTGCGTTGGAAAGCCCACATTAGTTCTCTAGCATTGTTCACTCACGTACTGTTCGCGTTCTAACTTCACAAATTTACACTACCCGCAAGCTGATTGGCAACGGGCCTGGCCACGTTTCATAGTTCAGTCAGGTGAAGCAGTAAAGCTGTAATTGTTTACGATCATGGTGACTGACAAAACTATTGCCAAAGCGGAAATATTCCGGGTCCACATCGGATAAGATGAACTAGCCTACATACCAGGGCATTCTTGTGACCATGTCTACCTCAGCTGCAGCCAAAGCACAGCATGTCCAAGACCATTTTCTGGAAAAGGTGACACTGGTGCATCTCGGTCCACTATACCGACGCACTTCCGAGTAGGGCGAGGTCTAAATTTGGAGGTAGTACACACGTGTGCACTGTGCTGTTGATATCAGCGGGGTGACGGATACCTTGGATATTTATTCAGTTTAGCAGCTGGTGCTAAACTCGACAAAGTAGTGCACACGATTGCGCTGTGCTGTTGATATCAGCGGGGTGGCGGATGTATTGGATATTTGTTCAGTTTAGCAGCTAGTGCTAAACTAAACGAAGTAGTGCACACGTATGCGTTGTGCTGTGGATATCAGCGGGGTGGCGAATGCCTTGGATATTTGTTCGGTTTAGCAACTGGTGCTCTTTTCACTCAAACCACACAGTAATGATAACTTACCGGCATCAAATGTGTCAGACCATCACGAAACATGCGTGTCAGCAATAGGCGTCCGATGTAATCGTATGCCTCGTTGGCATTCAAGCACGTACCAGTTAAGCTCTAACTAAACTTGGATGTACACTTGGGATGTCCAGCTTTGGGCTATGCATTCAGGAAACCTATGCCTTTTCATTGGTGCTATTTCGGACAGACCTCTGCAAGAGCGTTTGTGCCGTTAAATTACAATGCCCAACTGACTTACGTAGAGTGAGATATCATTCACCGATGGAAGTGAAAAGTCTGTCAATAATTCGAAGAATCACGGTGATAGCATATCTAACATCATCACAGATTGTTGACATGTTCGTTGCAATACTCTCCCCCATTGAAGGCTTACGTGCGGCAAATTGGGTCGCTAATTTGGCAGGTTACGTGGAACGGCAAACCAGGCTTGATAAAACGCACGTAACTGGTGCACGTAACTGGCCCTGCACCAGTTATGAGATATGATCATATCCGGGATATGATCATGGAACACGGAAAATTATAGCATTTCGATCTTCATGCACAATTTTGAGATTTCCTGGTCAGCGAGGTTTGTTCGTGTTTGACCGGGCTTCGTCAGTTAAGTAAAAGTTTCAAAATTTGTCAAATGTCAAAAATGTCAGATGTCAAATATGTCAAATGTCAAGCTAGGATTGTGAAGGATTCAGATTCGTTGGAGATTTCATCAGCACCTAAATCAGCCTAATTCACCGGGACGAAAGCTTTACCCCATAAAAAACAGAGTGTTTCTGATGTATGCGAGTCCAAATAACGTACATACAACGTACAACGTACGTTGCACGTACGAAATGCGTTTGCTACAAAAAGTTGGACGCACAAAATGCATTTGCTAATGAACCAATATAATTGTAGTAAATTTATTCGTAATAAAATTGTGTTTCCCTTTTAAATGTACCTATTAAAAGCCGATCAACGTCTAGATAACGCGTGACCTGGAAATGTGGAAGCTTTCAGAGATGACAGCATGGATAGGATTGACTGTCGTTTTTGTATTGTGTCGGCTGTCATGTTCTGCGTCGGAATAGTTGTCGTGGCTTGATCGTCTCTGTCCTCTAAAACGCCATTGGAAATGCACGACCCGGGGAATCCTCTCTCTCAACCCTCTCAACCCCCTCCCCAAAACTCACACACGAAGTGTCATGTTTTTTTTTACAGAGCCTGCGGTTACATTCAGCGATAAATAGCAGCACAATGAGGCCGAGCGTCTGGACGACCCGACCTGACGGCCCGGTCAGCGGCCGGCCATCTGACGGCTACAGGGAGATCCGGCTGGCTGGTGACCGCCAGCCGGGTCATAGCCAGCAGTGAACTGCGACCAAGCCACAGCCGACAGTATCGGTATGGTCGCGACCCGGGCCACAACCGACAGTATCGGTGTGGTCGTGACCCAAGCCACAGCCAACAGTATCGGTGTGGTCGCGACCCGGGCCACAACCGACAGTATCGGTGTGGTCGTGACCCAAGCCACAGCCGACAGTATCGGTGGTCGTGACCCAAGCCACAGCCAACAGTATCGGTGTGGTCGTGACCCAAGCCACAGCCGACAGTATCGGTGTGGTCGCCCCGGGCCACAGCCGACAGTATCGGGTGTGGTTGCCACCTGCCACAGCCACAGTATCGGTGTGGTTGCCACCTGGGCCACAGCCGACAGCATCGGTGTGGTTGCCCCTGGGCCACAGCCACAGTATCGGTGTGGTTGCCAACCCGGGCCACAGCCGACAGTATCGGTGTGGTTGCCACCTGGGCCACAGCCGACAGTATCGGTGTGGTTGCCACCTGGGCCACAGCCGACAGTATCGGTGTGGTCGCCACCCGGGCCACAGCCGACAGTATCGGTGTGGTTGCCACCTGGGCCACAGCCGACAGTATCGGTGTGGTTGCCACCTGGGCCACAGCCGACAGTATCGGTGTGGTTGCCACCTGGGCCACAGCCGACAGTATCGGTGTGGTTGCCACCTGGGCCACAGCCGACAGTATCGGTGCGTCGGATTGGTGTCCGGCTGGGAGGCTCAGACGGCAGGCGCCAGCGGCCGTGTCGCGCCCGTCTGCCGGTGCTGACAGCATCTCGGCACAGCGAGACTGATGGGCGGGTCAGTCTTCTGGAGAACGATGACTGATGGGCGGGCCAGTCTTCTGGAGAACGAAGACTGATGGGCGGGCCAGCTTTCCGGAGAACCAAGACTGATGGGCGGGCCAGTCTTTCGGAGAACCAAGACTGATGGGCGGGCCAGTCTTCTGAAGAACCATGACTGATGGGCAGGTAAGTCTTCTGAAGAAACAAGACTGATGGGGGGGCCAGCCTTCCGAAGAACCAAGACTGATGGGCGGGCAAGTCTTCTGAAGAACCAAGCCTGATGGGCGGGCGAGTCTTCTGAAGAAACAAGTCCCAACTGCTGCCAGAGGACCGGCGTCCGTCCGGAAGCCGCAGCCCGAGGTCACCCCTATTCACATAGGAGTTAGTCACCAGTGATTCAGATC